ATATAGCTAAAATATGAAGATAACTACCAGTGATGAAGCTCAAAGTCTATTGAAAAGCAAACACAGACCGTAAAAAACTTCAGAGTTGGGATCAGGTGCCATGGAGGGTTAAGTATCCCCTGTGGACAGGTCACATCCGTTGTTGTTCCTTGGCATGATCGGGAAAACGGAAAAATTCGTAGATAATTCGGTGTGAAAATAATGGCCTTACAATTTGAATGAAAAACGTCAGTCAACATTCGACTTAACGATAGATTGTATATGCTTACAAGGTCATTGTATCGACCATAAAATTTGCGAAATATTCACAAAACGAGATTGTTGATATCCTTGTATTTGTCTTACAACTTATCTGTCAATAGCTTAACTCGTTTTATGAATTGTTTGTAAATAAAACATGTTCTCGCATATCGAATCGTTTGGAAGGCATAAACGCCATATGCAGGCGATAATGGTACAGTCAAACCTGTATTAAGCAGTCACCTGCGGGAACCATTAAAAGTGACCTTTATAGAGAGGTGACCTTTGTAAAGAGGTTAATCTTTTTCAAGAAAAATTCTTTTCTAATTTATGTAAGTTCTGTGTCTTAAAATACTACATCATAGAATATTAAAGAGAGATGTGTTTTGGACATCAATGGTCTAAGTTAGATTTTTTTTTCTAAATTTAAATAGTCTCAAGATTAAGTTCAAGATAAATTTGATGACTCCAACAAAAAATATATAGAGTCTAATAGGACATTGCATCATCCTCCCTCCAAACAACAACAAAACTTTCTTTTATTATAAGATTACATTATCATGTTGTGGCAAGAATAAAATATATTTTTTTTTTTTTATCTGAACTGCCTCTAAAAAACAAGTTTAGTTAGTCCTTATAATTGTATGTTTAATAATGCATAAATAGTAGCGTAATAAACAGACAAGTCATTATATTCTCAGTTTATCAAAGCAGTGCATAATACAAATTGATATCAAATTCACAGGTGTTGTGAGCAATGAAGCGTGACTAATCCTAACGGTCGTCTTACCTAGTTGAAAATCACGAGATAATCAGGACACATTCGGTATACAAAACAGTTAACTAGGGTTTCTACAAATAATACGTTTCCTATGTGTAAAAAACGGCCTGTCATGCGTTTACGCAATTACACCTATCGGAGTTGGGTATACCAAACGTGAACTAATAATTAGGAAACACCTAATTATTGTATTCATTAATAGATAAATAAGGATGCCTTGTGTATCACTCAGAATTTTTAAACCAGATTCCAATTCAATAAGATTAAGATTCTCGTAAGTCCGTTTCCTGATAACCTTTTCGGTCACTAGCACCCTTGTTTAGTTTTGTTAAAAAAAATAAATAAATTATCCAATATTTTAAATGGTTTTAATAAGGCCAATTTTTTCCCCATGATCTCGCTGCACAAGACCAATAATTTACATTAGTGACAAAAATTGGCAGTCACCTGACTTGAGATCTGGTCACGTGATCAGACAAAATGGCCGCTATATACGAGGTAAAACGGCGATTTTACATGAAATTTGATGACGGCTGACCGCGTTACCCAGGTGACCGCTTAATAGAGTTACATTATATAGGAAAATTCATTGGGAGGAAATAAAATGACCGCATAGGACAGGTGACCGCTGGATAAAGGTGACCGCTATGACAAGTTTGACTGTATATTGCTACATAAATAAGGGATGTTGACGATAGAAAGTTGGAGTCATGTGTATCATAGTTTTTTTTTATTATTATTACTTTGCCATTAGTGTTTTCTCTAGTAAAATATCCAAAAAGGTATAATAGATCTAAACACATGTCATGCTGTAATATAACATTTTATATGCGAGTTCTTCCCGTGTTCATCAGAAAAATGAAAGAAAATTATACGTTGAGAACCAAACCTTGCCATCAATCAACTCTTTTAAACTATGTATCACTCTGTGCGGAGGAGGGTCATTATTCAAAGGGGGCCATTTGTTTTTTTTATAGGCTGCACATATAGAAAATTGACCTCTAGGATTCTTTTTCTACAAAAAAATCTACATTTTTCTACGGCTGGGAGGTCATTTTTCAACGTCGAAAAATTGCCCCGGTCATTTTTCTACAAGGTCATTATTCGTTTTTACACCGGCTATATATTTATTTCCGAGGTAAAAGTTAATATATGTATTATGAAATGTTGCGATTATAAACCGACTTTAGAAAAAAATATTTATTACGGAAACCGTTTCTTATGAAATCAGAGCAGAGCCTCCTTTTGAAAAATGACGTCAGATTTGTTGTGTCTGCATCATAGTACCACACGTGATGGTACTAGAGTCGAGAAAAGGGGGGGGGGGGGAGTGCCGGTGGTCTCACGAATAGTCTTTTTTTCAATATTTTATCCTGGCCCTGTGGTTCTTGAGAAGATTTTTAAAAGATGTTTTTAATTTTTCTCTTATTCTTAATTATCTCCCCTTGAACGAGGGTGTGGCCCTTCATTTGAACAAACTTGAACCCCCTTTACCCAAGGATGGACAGACGGACTATAGACAAAATGTGATCAGAAAAGTTCACTTGAGCTTTCAGCTCAGGTGAGCTAAAACATAGACTATTTTTCATTGATACGTTTTGTAATACAATATAATACAGAAAAGATCAATCTCAATATTTTTTTTTAATTGGAAGAAATTTCATTAAGACTATTCTTGTTGTTTGAAGCTTAAAATAAACACGCACTTCTTAATTTTTCTACGTTGGCCAATTAATAATAAATAATTAAATAATGCAGGAATTCCTACATAGCATAAAATGTTAAGCACTTTTAAAAAGTTTTTCATCAACTGACCTTTTACTTTTAATTTACAGGAGGATTTTCCGAATTTATAAACAAAGTGTTTACGTTTATATGTTAATTCTATGAATGCATTAATCTAAATAATTAAAAATATTTGCGAATTTTGAAAACAGACTTGTGTGATAAAAAAAAACCTGAACGATGATACGATATGGTTTTGACGTTTTCACATATTTATATTTCAGCTGATTTGGGGTCCGTCAGTTTGTGAAGCGTTAATTGCTGTTGCACAGCCTGTTTATATACATGTATATTAATTAAATCATCGTTGAGTACCGTGAAATGATTATAATATGTATCTTACCCCGTCTATCCTTTGCAGCTATCTGTTAAATTATATTTTTAAAACAAACATTGTAAATAGAAGTTTAGACAGTTTCTGTAGATGGAGACAATAAAGAAAAAGCTTGTGTAACATCTGGTCTGAAAATTTAAAAATTTTCGATATCTTTGATATCTCTAGAATGTTTCATGGTTTTCTTAATTTGTATCCCTTTTAAGTATGGCTCCGTGTAAAAATCATGCAGGGGGTGATATACATGGGGGGTTTCAGAATTTTTTCAAACTTTGCATGTTGGTAGGGTATGCTAAGATACTACAAAAAATAAAATGATTTTTTATCAATTCTGTGTCTGGTTGCCATGGCAACAGTTAAACTGTTTTCGGTAAAATATGGCTGAAATTTCCTCTAAAAATAGGCAAAAATATCAATATTTCATATGAAATTAAAAGAAAATCAGACAATAAATCACATTTTTGTTTATTTCTCATTCAAATACAGCTCAAATAGTAACTTTTCATAATTAATCAAAATATTTCCATGTCCAGTAAAATGTTCTAATTTTAAGCTGAAAAGGGGAGATAATCCATATTGAAAAAAACAGCAAAATATCAATTTTTTGAGGATTTTCAGCTATCAAAAAATTAAAAAACCCTACAGCCAAACCAAAAGGCCATGCTAGTTTCATAGACACCATACCCTATAGAAAATAAAATAATTAAAACATTTTTGTGCAAATGATTATTATTTTCCAAAATGATTGACGAGTTTCATTCAAAAAATGGCAATTTCCCTTTTTTTGTCACAGTCCAATATATGCCATATATGTATGCATGTAAAAGGAAATTGACATTTCAACACAATTTCTTTACATTTCCAAACTCAAATACAACACAATTATTTACTTATCTTAATTAATCTAAATATTTTCATGACCTGTAAGATGTTCCAATTTTAAGCTGAAAAGGGAGATAATCCATATTGACAAAAACAGCAAAATATCAATTTTTTGAGGATTTTCAGCTATCAAAAAATTAAAAAACCCAACAGCCAAACCAAAAGGTCATGCTAATTTCATAGACACCATACCCTATAGCAAATAAAATAATAAAAACATTTTTGCGCAAATGATTATTATTTTCCCAAAACGATTGATGAGTTTCATATAAAAAATGGCAATTTCCCTTTTTTTGTCACAGTACAATAACTATGCCCTATACACATATCATGAATATATACCAGGTATGCATGTAAGAATAAATTGACATTTCAAAAAATTTTTCTCAATTTTCTAATTTGAAATACAACACAATTTTACTTTTCATTTAATCAAAATATTTTCATGACCAGTAAAATGTTCTAATTTTAAGCTGAAAAGGGAGATAATCCATATTTACAAAAACAGTATCATATCCCATTTTTGAGGGTTTTTTTCAGCCTATAAGTTTTTTTTAAAGTCCAACAGCCAATGCAAATCAAAAGGTCACGCTTGTTTCGCACACACCATACCCTATGGGTATGATACATAGGGTATTATACAAAAATTGAAATTGCATTTATTTATTTATTTTAGGGGGGGTGTTAATATATTGATCCAACAACCATCGAGGGACAATATTTACTTCCTTCTTTAGGATCGGTGAATGCATACATTTAGGCAAGCCAAACCATTGTAATGACCTCAAAAACAGAAATAATTGTATAATATACAACTTGACTTTTATTTTAATGATAATATGAAAATCATTTTATGTTTCCCTCTTGGTTACACCTTTCAATATACACCACAAGAATTTTGATCGAATTTTAACTGCATGCAATTACATGTATTAATTAAATGAATGATGTTTTTTTACACATCATTACAAAGTCATCTGCTTCTTTTCCATTCAATTTTACCAGTTTATCCCACATCAAAATTATTAATTACTGGTACATGTATCAAAATCATTAATTGATAGATGTAAACAAAATTTTAATAGTTTACATCTTTTAAGATGAAATAATGCTGAACAAAATATCAGTAATCTCCGATGCTTCTCTTTTGTAGTAACTGACTGTCCTTTGTTTATTTATGAGTCTCTTCTAGTGAAATATAAAACTGTAACCTAAAGGTGCTGAAGATCCATGGGAGATGAAAGTCCATGCCTGATTATCTTTATCCAAGTACCAGCATTCTTTGAACTCTAATCTTTGTTATTCCTAAAATAATAGTTACATATAATTATCATTTACCAAATTAAAACTCATTGTTCTACATTGATTTAAAGGTATTAAAGGGTTTTTTTAAATTTATAAATTACATGGAATCTCAAGTTTATGTAATGCAGTAATTTCATGTAAAATCTCAAATGGTTGCATGTGCATGGCATGTGGTCCCCCACCTTTGGAGTCTTATTAGTTGGTGGTGTGCAATGATGTTTTTCTTGCTGTCTCAAAAATACTGTCAGCTTTTCCTTCATAACCATGATGCAAACCATCTTGCGCATTCTGTGAAAATGATATAGGGTTTCATTTCAAAAGTATATAATTCAAATTACTAACTTATGAAATATGTAAAATATCTTTACCATATTTTCTATCATTTATGTCTCAGGTTTTAACCATATTACAATTTAAACTGTAACCAGTTATGAATTCTATAATCTTGCTACTGATTAAATTAAAACTACAAAATGAAATACCCGGTACTCTCACAGTACCTGTTATAAAACACTTTTGGGTCTTCCCTTTTCATTCTATCTCTTCAGTCAAACAAGTTCTTGATCATTCTGAAAAACAACAAGGAATATTTTTCATCTAGATTTATATGCAATATGACATACAGAGAGAGATTAGGTATAAAGACAACTAAATATACCTATTTAACAACCCTAAATTAAATTTACCTGGTGATTCCAAAGCACAGTACACTGTTTTCCAAATACACTAGCCTGATTAAAAATGTTGGGCCAGTAAAAATGTAAGTCAGCAATAGCTTGACAAGACTAATAGAATTTTCAGTGATATATCTTTTACAAATTATACCATCAGTAATGTTAAAAAATGTGCATAAACAGCCTTGTCTGAAAAATTATATATTTATTAAATAAATCAAGCTTTTTGGTGGTTTTTATATCTTGGTTGATTTTTTTTTCTGTCCATACTTGATTTTGTTATTTAGTTATCATTTCTGACTAGTGCCATGTTGACATGGGTAGAGCAAACAAGAGGCCCATTGGCAGATTTTTCTAATATACATTCATATGTAAAACTTTGATCCCCATTGCGGTCCTACCCTATCCCAGGGGTTCATGATTTCAACAGATTTGAATCTACACTACTTGAGGATTCTTCAATATATACATGTATCTGTACGACTAATCATGGCTTTGCTGTTCTTAAAAAGAAGAATTATCACTATCTAGTGTGAAACTTTGATCCCCCATTGTGGCCCTATACTACCAGTATGTCTAGTTCTTGAGAAGAAGATTTCTAAAGATTGTAAATGTTACCTAGTATCTACATTTTTAAAGCCCCATGCTACCGCTACTTTTCACAAAAGTTTCAACCCTTTTGGCCCAGTTTTTCATGAGAAAAAGATTGATAAAGTTTTTTACATATATATTTCTACATGTAACTTTGATTGCTTATTGCGGCCAATCCATATCCCTTGGGGTCATGATCCGAGCAAACTTCCCACTACATTATGTAATAAAGCTTTCACATAAGTTTCATCTTTTCTGTTCCAGTGGTTCTTGAGAGGAAGATTTTTGAAAGATTCATTAAATTTTAACTAATTTTTAATTATCTCCCCTTGAAAGAGGGCAAGGCTCTTCATTTGAACAACACTGAATCTCCTTCATCCAAGGATGCTTTGTGGCAAATATGGTTGAAATTTGCCATTCTGGAAGAAGATGAAAATGTGAAAAGTTTTAAACAAAGATGACAATGACACCTGGAACAACAACAGACAATTGACAAAGTGTGATCAGAAAAGCTTACTGGAGCCTTTGGCTCCGGTGAGCTAAAAAATCAAAACCTATCACATAAAGCTATACTTCTTTTAATTAGTAAAATTTACATGTTCATTTTCAAATTTGAATTACCATAAACCTGGGGCCTAAAATAAAAATTAATTTGTTTGCAGTTGCCTACCCATGCACTGAAAATGCACCCGACCCAAACTTTTTTTTTTCAGCCATTTTGTATTATTATTTTTTGTTAAGTTTCAGTTTTTCAGGATATTGAAAATGTTCTATTTTTTATTTTTGTTTTTATCAAGTGAAGCTTATTTATGTTAAGTAAGCCTTGAAGTATGAATATCTCTATAATTTGTTATCTAATAAAAGTCTGAAAAATAACTTATTTTTTTAAAAAAAAAAACCTACGTATCCACTCTAAAAATTATAGGTTGGCAACTGCAAACAAAGAATTTTTTAAGCTAATGGCCCAGGCCTTCCCACTGAATCCCTTAAATTTGGCCACGTTAAATAATGGTTGTTGTATGGGACATGTATTGATTAATGATGAGAGCACAGACAATGTTCCATACTTATATGATGATAAAATGTTCTATTGTTAAGATGATATTCTCCTACAGACCCGGTTTAATGAAAGAATATGTATTAGCAATGTTATGTAGCAAAACAAACCGGGCAATAAGTATTATTTAGAGAATGAGACGGGTTCTGTATCGTAGATACAAATTTGGGGGTGGACGAGTGCATAGCACTAGTCTCCGCCCCCAGATTTGTATCTACGATACAGAACCTGTCGAGTTCTCTAAATGATTTGTGACATGATCAATCAAGAAAAAGCACCGCCCACTTTATAGCTGTGCAGCATTCAAACTACTGCCAGTGTTTGTTTGTTCTCTCTGTAGATGAGGCCTTGATGGGGAGTATGCCTCCGCAGTAGATATATATTTCCATGGACAATGTAAGATTTAGTCAGATTAGTTTTGAAAACGGGGGAGACGTTGTCTTAATTGATAAGGTGGACAATTTAACCTTGCCGTAGATGGAGACTGATCCTTATTTATTTCAGGGGTCTTAAAATCTCAGTTTAACTAGATACACATGCAGGCGATACAAACAGTTCTTCAATGAACTTTGATGTCACAAATTTTTATTTTCTTATTGAAATGCGACATTAAATTTAAAAACGAATTAAGAGAAAGAGATGTGCAGCAGTCGTCAGCGATAAGAATTTAAGATGAAATGTTAAAAAAAAATGCTCAAAATGGACTTGAATGAGTTTGCACGAGAAGAGTGGAAAATGGGGGGGGGGTGACTGTGCGAAGTTCACATAATGTATGCTGCACCCGTGAACCCATTGGCTTAACTATTTTGGAGGGGACCCCAAAAAAGCAGGGAAAGCAAACAGGTTTTCAGAAATTTATTAAACATAGGATGCTTTCCATAACTGCGAATTTTCCTTTTTGTTTGGATCGAAATAACATGTAGATTCTGTGTGGAATAATTTTTTAAAAATTGAGAAATTTTGATATTTTAATATACATTTTTTGATATTGATATTGATATTTTGATATACATTGCTAGGGATATATTTCTCCAAATTTTATAATAAGATAAAACTCAGCATTTATTATTTGTACTTGCTTTTGATAAATTGAATCAGATTTATTTTTAGACTGTGCTGTATTTTAGATACAGAATAGTTGGCTAATACAAAACACTGAGCTATCGTGTCATAACTAACTCTGGTAAATGCATTTACTCTGAATAATTCAGAGATTTCTGACTATCAACATGGCATGTAAATTTGAATCGTATAAAAAAACCTTGACAAAAAGTGTTGAACTCTTACATTATATGGATTAATTTCTGGGGGTGAAAGGTATCCCTGTGACAAAAAAAGGTTAACTTTGTTATTATTAACTTGACGCTTATTTTTCATTGCAATTTCATTTATTTCCTCCAAAATCATTTCAGAGTGTTTCCACCATTTTCTGCTACATTGCGAGAATATGGATGGCATTCTAACTGTGGTCAGGGCCTGTCCCAAGACACAGTAACATTATTCAAACATATATATGTGTAAGATGTCATTTTTTTCAAAATGGACATGATATTGATATATGTAGGAACTGGCCATCCCCAACAATTTTCCAAATACATACTTTACTGTATAAAATATCAATAACCATACATAAGAAGTAAATTTAAATTAAATCCTACCTATCAAGCTGTTCAAACAGCTGTCCAAATGTACCGGTGGCGCCGGTACATTATCTTCCATCTCCAAGTTGAGTATGCTGACACAGTCGGACTGCAACTCCTCTCTGAGGGCTTACTCTTGGATTCTGGTGGATTAACTTAGAAGCTAAACTTCCGACATAGACCATACTGATGTCAGTAATAAGGAAAATTGCTGATACCCTTATCAACACGATGACAGTAATATTCCCAAGCTACACTTTTTCGTTTCACAGATTTTTTTTCCTCTTAATTTACACGAGCTCCATGTCCAATCTGTTCTTGTAAATTCCTTTCAATCATTTTTAATCAATTCACACAGATATTTGCAATGAACACCACATGATGCATCAAAATAACTTTGCAGAGTACAGCTTTTCATGGAGGCCGCCATTTTTTTTACTACCGCCACCTATATAAATTTCCTAAGGGAGATAACTCATACGAAGAATCTTCACAAATTCCAGATTTTTAACACCCTGTATCTTTTCAATCCTTTGTTTGCACAAAAATATTAGAGTAAATTTAATTTACACTTTCTATTTTCACTGTAATTATGTGTTTAGATTTTATACATCTTCTTGGGTTTAGAAGAAATTATTTTCTGAAATATGCACTATTTACACACTATCCATACAAAATTACCCCTGGAGTACCCTATCCCTAGCTATATGAAAAAAGAAGAATTATAACAAATCCATTCGTTATCATTCATTCTAGACCCAAATGAATATATTAAACTCAGTTTTAATGAATTTGCAGATTATCGATGTAGCGCCTTTTCTGTGCTACCTGCATGATTTTTACGCGGAGCCTTACTTAAATCTAAAGTGTACTGATTAAGCATATATAGAATATTATTTAGTTTTTATTTAGTTTTTTGGTTTTGTTTTGTTTTTTGTTTTTTTTTTTTTTTAGTTTTCTTGTGTGTAAACATATGAATTTAGAGTTTACTTATCAAATATGCCAGGAAAATGTGTATTTTGATACGATTCACCGGTGAACCGGTCGAAATGTCTTGCCGTGAACTGATTAGCATTTCTGTATATACAAGTATCTATTATATATATATATATATATATATATATATATATATATATATATATATATATATATATATATATATATATATATATATATATATATATATATATATATATATTTACTATATTTTCTGTGTTTTTAATTTGTGTGTGTGCAGGGAATGGAAAATTTTCCATCAAAAATATATAACAAAATTGCACAATAACATTTTTTTTAATGCAAGGGTATTTAAAGTGTTCTGCTGTAAAGATGACGAAAGAATTTATCATTGTTTAAATGCGGTTTTGTGGTGATTAAATCCGGATTGCAAATTCGTTAGTGAAACATTTAACCACCACACAGTTTAAGCCATGAACTCCGAATATCCATCATCATTTACTTTCATGAAAGATGGGCAATTTTCTTTTTTCCAAACAGATATGTTCAATTAATGACCAATAGGTCCTGTTATATTTTTAATCAAATTGCAAAGATATACTTTTTTAAAAATGAGAAGAACTCACTGATTGGAAATTTTGTCCTGATATGTGGAAATGGTTAGTTTTACCTCCTTTCTCAAGCATTAGATGCTTTAAAGTGATTGAAGCATATTTCAAAGAATTGAGGTTCATGATAAGCCTAAAGCGCAAATATGCATGTACTCTCTATATTAAAAGTTAAAAAGTAATGCATATAATTATTTTTGTTCATAACTTTATAGTAGAAGGTAGCATAATAACTAAATTATGCCATTGTTAATAATACTTTTGAGAATTTCAGACAAATTATTAAACGTCACAAAGGTGGCAACACACGACAAACTGTTTTACAGACTTTTTATTCATTGAAGGAGGATAAGATAAGGTGTTCTAGTGATGAGAGGATTATGGAAAGAAATAAGCAATTTAATGGGTAACTGGGCTATCAAAATATTTACTGCATTAATATTAAATTATTTTTGTCCATAACTTTATAGTAGAAGGAAGCATAATAAGTAAATTATGCAAATATATGAAGTCAAAACAGGAGTATGACCTTTTTTTATTGACATTTATTATTTTGGCTGTTTGCCTTAAAATATAACTATAGCTTACACATTTATATTCCAGTATGTACAAAGTCATGATGAGATACCACGAATGAAAAACATTAGAAATTACCTTTAATTTGTATGTATATTACTGAAAATTATCCGGGGATTTTGAGTGAAATTTCCACATTCTAGTTCCAAGTCGCAGTTGGTAAAAGTACAAATTCTGCATACCTGGTCAAGAGAGGATTGTACGTTATGCTTTTTGACATGCAAATTTTGTCATTGTCGAGATTTTGGATCACGTGCGCATATGGCTTTTTGTCAACATAGAACCTACATAAACTCGATAATATTGCTATTGCAATTATATTTGTCTACAAATCTAGAATTATAGACAAGGTAAGTAAATATATTTATATATTTTTTTTCTAAAACAGGTGGCAATTACATGTACTAATTTGATGCATCGCAAAAAATCACCACTTTTTCAACTAAGAAATAACTGCTTTTGAAAGGAAATGATAGCAAATTATCTTGATTTTTATTATTATTTAATATAAATACATTACGGATATAGAGGATAATAACCTATATTCAGTTACAACATCAATACGCTAAAATACAATAACAAATTGAATGTAATTTGATGAAAACTCAGTTGTTGTTTTTTAAAGATAATTTTATGTGTGTATTTATCTTCTTTTTAAATGTTGAATAATAAACTTTGGATTATTCAAATTGAACTTATTTTCACTGTATGCATTTAATTTATTAATCTCCAAATCCCATACAAAACTGTTTCCTAAGACAAAATATTTTTAAAAGAAAAAAATTCGAGGGTTAAATCCACTTGTATTCAAAATAGTTCAAATTAAATAATGTTATATTTTGCATTATAATACCCTATAATTTTAAAAGCATTACGTTTTGTTTGTAACGAAATTTAAAATAGCTTCTTTTTTCATTGACAGATGAAAGCATTCCTTATTGTTTTGTTGACTGTGTTTGTGATCGGTAAGTCTCATAAGGAGCTTAATTTATGTAATTGCTAGCGCTCTCGAGCGCTAGCAACTACGTTAGTCTATATTTCTGGAATACGCATGCTCGACTTCACGGTCGGGCATTCTGGGAAAACTACTGAAGATAGACTGTACGATGATAATTTCGTTTTATCATAAAAAAAAATTGATATGGTCCGAATTCTGAATTTCTTAATTTATTGTATAACCTATGATTAAAAGTACAAGAAAATTTGGGTCATATAATGCCAAGATTGTAGAGATCATTCAACTGGTAAAACCTAGCTTTCCTTAAAGCTAACCATGTATACTACCTTCCTAGATAATTCCGGCAAGCTCAGAAACAAACCCAGGAAATCTTTCAGAGTATGTCGGAAAGACACGAGAAGCGATTGATACAATGCAGTAGCACTGATATAATTATAATTCTTTAATTTCTCATTTTCCTTTTTTGACGGAAAAGCCCGAGTAATGATCCGATTGTTATTGCTGGCGCTCTCGAGCTAGCAATAACTCGAGATGTATGCTCGACTTCATGGTAGGGCATTCTGGGAATACTACTTGTAGATAAATTGTCAATTTCGTTTTTTAATCTGAAAATACATATGATCTGAAGTTTCGCGTTTTGTTGTCTAATCTTAAATAAACGTTCAAAAGGTAACAGTAAATGCCAAAATTGTACAGATCAATTATAATTTCTAAAATTATAATTAAAAAAAACTGGCTATTTTTAACTATCTTCCTGGATCTTTCCGGCAAGCTCGGAATAACAACCTCGGATATGTTTTCCGAGCTTGCCGGAAAGGCCCGAAAGGATGCGATTGCTACAAAACAGTACCATACTGGACTGTTTTTAAACTAGGTGTTCATTGGTTCTACTTATCTCTTATTTTTCATGATCACTTCAAAATTGAAATTACAGTAAACTACAGAATGCTTAAAGCACAGTTAATAGTTCATGCCATTGCCAATGTGAAAACCCACTCAAAACAAAGCTTTGAAGTTCATTATTGTAATGTTTTATGACTTTGGGTATCCCGAATTTAATCCAACAATAGCCTTTTTTGTAAATAGTCTGATGAATATTCTGTATTAAGCACTGAATAGCTGATACATTCACCATTCTGATATTAAGACATATCCCCCCAACACTACCTCCAGTGTACCACTGTGTCTTCCTATTAATAATTAGGGACGACCATTTGATTCTGAAGGGGCTGGGGGAAGATTTTGGAAATAAATAATCTGTCCTCAAAAAAGTTGAAAATAAATAACTGTCTTTCCACGAACGGCAAGAAAATAAATAATCTGTCAATGACTATAACTATTTAACACCCCCCCCCCCCCGTCCCTCTTTGAAATTTTTGTTTTTGTTTTTGTTTTGTTTTTGTTTTTGGTCAAACTTTTTCGATTAAGAAGAAAATAAATAATCTGTCCTTGATCATTTTGAAAATAAATAATCTGTCCTTGACTGGCATGAAAATAAATAATCTGACTCGAAAGATTTTGCCAGACCCCCCCCCCTCCTTAGAATCAAATGATCGTCCCCTTAATCGATTCAGCAAATAAATCCAATAATTCAGATATCTAATTCTGTGGTTTTTGATAGCTACAGCGCTAGCTCACCTATCTTTTTAAAAGATAAGCTTGTATACACTCTAAATCCACCAAGACATCCTTGTAACCGAGGGGTAAAGAAATTATATAAGCTTCCCTAGACTCTATCGAAGTGTAGTTATTGAGCTAAAATACGAAAAATATGTTACGGTTTTGAATTCTAGCTTTAGAATTTACACCATTCTAATGTAATATCATGTACATGTAGCATTTCATAAAATATACCTTTACATTTCACAGTTTTTCACTATATCTTAAGATTTCGTCAACACTTGAAAATGAATAAATGTTGTTATAAATAAATAATGTTATACAATTAACCATGATAAATCTGGCAGATGCACAAATATTAATGTAATGTTCGGAAACAAAATACAGTAGTAGCTTAAATTTACAATGTACATATACCATATTAATGTAAAACTTGTGTCAGTAAAAGAAAAAGTTAAATTGCATTATCTGACCGTTAAAACAATGTCATACGCTTTTAAAATTGTTGTTTGTTTATTTACAGACACATCCAGTGGGGATAGTCGTTTTCGTATCTTTGATTATAGCAGTCGCGTGCGTTCGTGGGAGGAAGCACGTGCTGCATGCCGGAGACTCGGTCGAGGCTGGGACTTGGTGAAAATTAATAACAGAAGGGAGGATAATATTGTCAAAACATTTCTGAGGGAGGAGTGTAGTAAGAAACTTTATCAAATAGGATTTAATTAACGATATAATGCAAGCATATATAGTATCGCTTTTGAAAGAGGTGGAAAAATAATTGACAACTTACCAGAAAAAAAATATTTAACAAGCAAATAATAATAATAATAATAATAATAATAATGAAGGGGAGATTGTCTAAATTTTTCTTTGATGGAGGGGTCCATCTTTAAAACTCTGATATATCAACATCGCAGGATTTTACTTTACTTCTAAATAAAAAGTGGGGTGGGGTGAGGAGTGGCCTTTCAATGAATATTTTCATGCAAGCTAAAACTTTACATTTGGTAAAAAGTAATGGGGACACCTACTCGATTCTATGTGCCTAAATACTGAGAGTTTAAGTTCAGAGAATGTATGTAAACTTTTATCGTGTATCTATATTTCTTCTTCAATTATTTTGTATTCTTGTGCTTTGTTTTGGACAACCATTTGATTCTTGGGGACAGATTTCGGAAATACAATCATGGTCCTCGAAAAGTTCATAAATAATATATTAATCTATCCTAAAAGAAACTCTCTGATCTGGACACTCTTTCCTACCCACAAACACGACTCTAAACAGAGTTTTCGAGTTTGGGAATACCATTTCCTCTATCATTTTTTTTCTCACTTCTTTGCTTGTCGAACTTTTTTCAGTGAGTAAAATGTCCTGTAAAAGCAAAAAAAAAAAAAAAAAAAAAAAAAAAAATTAATAATGATAATTTGACATGAATCAATTTGTCCTTCCCCCTTCTTCAGAATCAAATGTCATATCCTAATATTATATACTTTAAAACGCTGCATCTCCTAGCATTTTCAAAGTAAACAAAAGAAATTATGAAGAAGTTTTTAAAATAATTCCTCCCATGTATTTATTCGAAACAGGTAATTACGGTGATGGTTGGTTTATTGGCGGCAAATCTACAAACGGCAGATGGAGATGGGCAGATAATTCTTTGATGACGTATACCAACTTTCCTCGATCCAATTCTGCTTTTCTTACCCGGGGCCCCCCACAGTCGACCGTCATTAACTATGCTGTTATTTTCAAGAATGATTTTCAGTGGGGATACGTGGCTCCCCGTCCGTCACCGAGGATGGGGTACATTTGTGAAAAACAATGTCGTTTGGTTTGGGGACCTGTCTAGGACCTGCTACATCCAGTTTCATGTAAATGCATGAACATGTTACCATGGAAATAAATACAAGTAATTTCGAACTCTTAATCGTCATCATTTTTTAAAAACTGTTTCATATCTTGATTCTCATATCGTAATTTTTAAAAAAATGTTTCTTTAAATTCATTCGAATAAATCTAATCCGCCCTTTATGTCTTTATGTCAGTATTGAAAATATATTATACCTGTGATTACGCGACATCGTAATTAGATTTGAATATTTACAGAAAAGATAGGAAGGACTTTTCTTACATCATCCAATTCTGTTTCTATTTCTTTCTGAGTTTGGCTTCAAAAAGCTGAATTTCACTCTACAAACAGTACACAACACTAAATTGAGATCATATTGATTTAAGATATTCTTTTAATTTAAAAACTTGCAATATAAAGGTCAACTGGTTCTAGGTTTTTAAGTTTGTCAAAACACTGAATTACGTTTTCATTTCTTTCTATTAACACCCCAAGTAAAAGAAAGGGAGGGGGTTATTCATTTCTTCAAACTCAAATGCTTTAAACCTGGAGAGATATATATATATATATATATATATATATATATATATATATATATATATAGCACAATTTACAACTATAAAAATTCAAACTAACATAACTGCCCTTAAGTGAAGAAATCTAGGGAAATCCAAAAACTTGCTTTCGATGCCGATGGAATTCTCACTACACGGTCATTGAGAATGGAAGTGAGATACAGTTATTGTAGATCTTTTTTATGAAGTACTTCAAATTTGCTGGTTTTTTGAAGCAAAATTAACCTCGAAAAACTAGTATATTTATCAAAATGTGAAGAGAATTTCAATAATAAACAGGGAATAAAATAGAGTATATTTATATGAATTAAAAAATTATTTAAAAAGCTCTTTTAATGATAAACAATAAAAATGTAATTATTTCACCATAAATTCTAGTGTTATGCTGGTTTCTAGGGCTGTGCAATAATATCGATATTCCGGTATTTTGCGATTCGTTAACAAAAAATATCGTACTGCGATACGTTTTTCCAGTACCAATATACCGGCAAAATGCTTGGGCTATAGATTTATAAAATAAAATGTGAAATTTAAGATGTCAGAAACGTTTTCAATTGTGCCAAACAGTACCAAACGTTAAGGGTTTTTAATTGTTGTATGGTTGCATTTCGTTGCCAAACTGTATTGAAATCATGTAGAACTTTTTTGTAACAACGTATTTATTAAAGTTTTATACACTCTGCTTATAAATGGGAGTAAATAGAATAAGGAAAGAGATATTTATCTGATATCGCCATACAGTTCCAAATATCGCAATATATCGCAATACGAAATTCCCAGCCGATACCCAGACCTAGGTTACTGGTTTCCATAGCAACAGCACAAAAAAAAAAAACTTTCTTGCTTTTTCTATCATATCCTTTGTTCTGAAAATTTTTTATATGAGTTTTGACCAAATTTATTTTTATGCCACTTTCCACATTTTTTAACTAAATGCTCTATGCTTGCTGATTTTGACTCTTAAATAATACCCATCTTTTTTTACAGTTCGCATTTTTTGACTCAATCCAATGTCACATTTTTTTTAAATACTACTAGAATGATTCTATTTATTTAAGAGGAGTTCCAGAATGGCAATCTAGTTGTTATTGTAACGAAGACTATTACAGATTTTCCCTGACCCCTACCCCCGCCCTTTTGGTGCCCCATACCCTATAAGCTTCATTGAAGGAGATGGGGGAACAAGGCGTGCAGATTGCCTATAGCATCAGATATATAAAAATTATATTCAATTTGTGAATTTAGCATTAAAAGTAAAGTTCTCGTTATTGAAATTTATGAAATTACGATGAACAAAACTTTTCTGAGGTAAATTTTTTCTGCTAATTTTTTTTTCTGTCATTTAAAAAGTAACGTGGTACTCTCGGGGTTCAAACTCTGCAATAAAAACTCCGAGTATCATTTTCCTTTGAGACCAACGCGGTAACCACTATGCTACAACAACTCTTGATGAACAGCGGCATTTAAATCATGTTTGTGATATGACCCTTGAAAAATTGGACCAAGTATTTCTCGGAAAGATACGAATGTTGTGTCATAAAAGTGTATTTTTCAGTTATATTTTTGTTAACCGAAAAATGTACGTTTTTAAGCAAACTTTAAGGATAAATGTTCAAAAAAATGAAGCAAAAACCCACTCATATCGAAAAGTTGTGTTATGGTATGAGAATATTGTCCTTTTTTGCCCTTTTTAGTGCGTGTATGCTATAGGCAAATATAGGCAAATATTTTCAATCTTTGTGAGATTTTTGCAAATTTTGGAGATTTTACATAAATATACCTTAATGTTAGATGAAATATCGAAGAAGATTTTGTTATAGTTGAAATTTAATTTTTCACCTAGCTTCATGTTTTCGCACAATAGGCAGTTCATTCGCCTTGTTCGCCCATCTTCTTTAGACAAAATCTTTGCATTACAGACTTTTACAACTTATTTTCCAAAGTACTTTGGGTATAACATTTATAAATAATAAATAACAACGCACTAAGCAAAATTAGTATGTATAAGCCAGTCAGTTTAAAGAGCCCGTGCATGCACGTAATTTCGAAAATTTCCATCCCCAGGCAGTTCAGATTCAAATTTGTTCATACCCCCCCCCCCCCCCCAGGAGTAAGTTGGAGCCACGTTTACAATGGGGGACCACAGTTTGACATAAAAATATAGGCTAAAATATTTAAAAATCTTTTTCTTAAGTACAGCAAAGCCATGATTAGTTATATTGATAGGGATGTATCTTTAGGTAGTGTAGATTCAAGTTTGTTAAAATTGTGACCCCCAGAGGTAGGGTGGGGTCAAATCTTTACAAAAAATATTCTTCACAAGAAGGGCATGCGCAAAGCCAAGATTAGTCATATGAGTATGGAAGCATCCTCAGATAGTGTAGATTCAAGTTTGTTCATGACACCTGGGGGTAGGTTTAGGCCAAAACAGGGACCAAAGTTTACATAGCATTCTATAATTTAAAAAAAATCTGTTAACGAAGAATAAAGGGGCCACATTGACTAAGGTGAGCGTTGTGGTCCATGGGTCTCTTGTCTTTACTCCTCAACAAAATATTAACAGCAATTAAGGCGAAACTTCATTAGTACTGTACAACAATATATTCGAGAGGTAGTGTTTATCAGATGCAGATTATTAAAATTTCCAAGGAGTTTTTAGAAATTTGAAATCACCAAAATCAATAGCATCAAAATGTACGACTTTTCAACATTATTTACAACCATTCCCGACGATAAATTAAAGTCCAGCGTTTTTGATGTCATAAACAGCTGCTTTTTCAATAAAAAATGGAACCCGTAAATTTTCCCCCTTGTCATTGGGTACAAATTGCGCCCCGTTATTAGCAGATCTATATATTTTCATATATTCATATGAGGCAGAATGTATTCAAAAACCACATAAAAATAAGTTTCTTGCTATAGTATTCAATTCAACATTTAGATGTATCGACGACGTTTTGAAAATTAACAATATTCATTTTCATTCCTACGTTGATTCGATATTTCCCTTTAAACTCGATATAAAAGATTTCACAGAGTTTCGCATATCTATTTCATATTAGGATATTATTAATTTTTGCTATATTAGAAAAGGGCTTTAATGGCAACCTAACAACAAAATTGATGACTTTCCTATCGTCAACTTCCCTAAATTAAGTTATTTAATTTGCAATATAACATTATCGACTGCATATGGAGTTTAATGTAGTATGTCTCCTAAAATCGTCGCAAACCACGGCCAAAATGTACGATTCTCTCCCATTCTCCTAGGAGAGAGTTCTTTCTCCGGACCGTGGCTTGAGACGATGGTCTCCTAATTGATTCGATAAAAAGAGCATGCTATTCGTAAGAACAATTTTGAGGCAAGTTTTGACAAATAAGTTGATGGTACAAGGATGTCAACAGTCCCGTATAATATCAACATTACGCAAATTGTATGGTCGATACAATGACCTGTTAGCAAAAACAATGGATTGTTAAGTCAGGTGTTGACTGGCGTTTTTCATTCAAATCGTTTGGCCATTTATTTTCACACTGAAGCCTAGAAAGTGAAGGAAAGCAGCTCAATCCCAACCCCACTCCAACGCCACCCACTCAGGCAAGAAATAAGTTTTCATAATAGTTTTTCAATAATGGAAGATAATTTTGATGTCATGATCGAATTGTGCAATTGTGTGATTTGATGCATTCTGATGTCAAAGATTTCTGGACTTGGGATTGCACCCATACTCGCTCCTATAATTTGTTTGTAATATTTTCCATCAAATTCGAAGTAATTACTTGTTTTCCAAGACGCATTTCGGTAAGAACGTTAGATCCTTAGGGTTAGGATATGGAATATCTAATTCCGTTTTATTGGCCTGTGTGTAAGCCTCGTTAACTGAAGAGAGAAGTTCGTTGAATTCCATATTTGTGCACATGCTAGTCACATCATAAGTAATTAATAATGCCTTTAATTTCTTAAAGCTAAACTGACCATTAATCAGAGCGTTGTAAACGTTTTTAGGTAGTTTGTGGGTTTTTAGAAAAGGTATAAATGCCCACATTTAAGTGAAGGTTTTTTGTCATTAAGAAACTTGTAAGTGTCTATGCCCACTGACCCATTTGTGTGCATTTCGGAAAGTTTATTTTGAATGTTTTCATGCAGTTTGGGCATGTTGGGTTCAGATACTTGCATAAAGTGTTCAGATTGCAGTTGGCGTTGTGCTTCTAAGACATACTGATCCCTGTTCATGATGACAATTGTGTTGCTTCTCTCTGCTTTTTTTAATAACAATGTCATTGTTATTTTTAAGAGATAAGATAGCTTCACTTTCGGAATTTAGGATGTTCGGTCTCTTTTTGACAATTTCCATTGAGGAAAATTCCAGTTTTGTTTTTTCTATATATTCCTCGAGTTCGTTGCATGTAAAAGGCGGTTTAACACCAGATTTTGTTTTAAAGGGGTGAATTGCAATGTTGTCTCCCGTGTCAAAGTGAAATTTGCATCTGAGTTTTCTGGCAAATTCTTCAAAATCTTTGAGAAGTAGGCTTTTAGCATTGTTGCTTTTTGGCGTCGGAATGAATTTTAGGCCTTTGCTCAATAGGGAGAGTTCATGTTTGGATAAGTTGTGCCTTGATAGGTTTAGGACAAACTTTCCCTCTGTGGCCGTAGCATTTTTACAGCGAGCTTTAACTCCCCGTAGATAATTACAGAAGCGTTTAGCAGTTTTGCATTGTAATTCGCCGAGCCATATAGATAGAGGGGCAGCAGGTGGTAAATATTATAGCGAGGCGCTATAGTTCATCAATGAGCATTTTGATGAAATAAGATTTCCGTCTAATTATCAATAAGTGTTGATAGATTAGAGGATAGGAGGAGTGTGTGGCTATAAGAAACTGATAGCCAGATTTTGGAGATAGAAAGTAAAGTAAAGCTGCTCAATCACAACCCCATATCTCAAGCCACCCACTCATGCAAGAAATACTAAAGTTTTCATGCTTTTAGGAAAGAACTCTAGGTTTTTACAGATTTCTGCTTTGGATATTGGGGGAGTGGCTGGGGTAGTTCATGTTGTGTAGATTTGCAAACGAAGGTTACACATGTATTTTACGCACACATCCGTGTACGCGTTCAATGTACACTGTACATACGATATATGAAAGCCCTATTTCTCTCACACAGGACATGCAAGAGTTACACACTTTTTTGTACAGTCTATACAGTGTTGGCATGAACAGTTCTAGATTAAACGTATCGGATTAATTCAACTATATACAGTGTTTACAGTGGTTTACCTTTCATCATTTTCAACTTGCATAGTTTCGAGCTCGAGCGTACAAGCATACATGGTAGTCAGGTAGTTACGCCAATTAGTATGTAGAAATAATATAAGATTCTGCATGTATCTGCCGTGCCATGTACTGTATGCATATACATGTACATGTAATATCGTGTTGTTGTTGTTGTTTTCTTTCTAATCCTTGTTTATCAAGGATCTTTTTTTGTTTGTTTTGGTAGATCCCTCTTAATTAAGCCTAAAATGTTTGGGTGTGCCCCCCTCCCGGATTATATTCCCCGAAAGGCTACTAACTAAAAGCAACGTCTACTTATCACACCCAATTAAGGGGGTCTTCTAAGGGATACAGATTGACTTACTTGTATGAATAAACTACCTGAAATTAATTTATTAATCTCTTCACATCGTACAGAGATACATGTATACATAAACAATGGTGACAAATGGAAAAAACGTGTTTTATAGCATGCGTGAGTATGGAGGTAGACAAATAGTACAATTAAAGATATATATACATGTATTCACTAGTTAATTCGAGGAGCACATTTTAGTAATATTTCTAATAAATGTATACAGTTTTCTTAAAAAGGTTTGTTTTTCTGAATTCATTATTTCTCTGAATACAGTAATGTTTTTTAAATTGTAATTGCTTTTGCGATAAACATGTTTTTCTTGGTGTCTTCTACCTATTCCCACTTTTAAAAATCTTAATTCCACCTATTCTCACTTGCAAATAACAATATACATGTAATAGATATTTTGATACGAAGTTAATTTGTTTTTATAGCAATTAGGTTAGTTACATCCCACCATAGATTCGCCTGTATTTCGTACACCTTAAGACAGAAAATAAATAGCTTCAAGAAATTTTATTTCTTAAAATAAATGGATTTAAGAAAAAAAAGATTTAATGCATTTAAATATCTGGATTTTAGAAAATAAAATAAATAGATTTACAAAGCAAATATGATTAAATGCACATAAATATCTTCTTTTTTGAACATGTTAACCCTTAAGAGTGAATTTAAAATAAGCGGACTTAAGATTTTTTTCCTTTAATTTGCTTAAAACTAACAATATCATTTTAGCCTCAGATCAGATTTACAATAATATTAAAAAAAAAAACGAATTAACCTGGCCTCAATCCCAACAGGATTTAATTAATTCTTATATAATAATTATATGTTTACAAGGTTAACTATTTGTTTACACAAGTATTCCACCTATTCCCACAATTTTTTTTTTTACCTTTTCCTAACTGTTTTATTTTTACCTTTTACCTTTTCCTAACTGTTTTATATTTTAGTTGAAAGAATTCAAGAATTTTGGCTAGTCAATGTTGAGCAGATTCAGCTATCAATACAGTATTAACAAGTTAAATTGATGCAAAGCATAAAATCGGCCACAAAAATATATTTTTCATTTTGAAGTATTTTTCACAAAAAGGAGTCCAAAGAAAAAAATCCAAGTAGAAAAAGTGTATGATACATTTCTTAACCTTGTTTTACTTTTCTGTGCACATTTTTTACACTTTGATTTTAAATTCAGTGATCAGTTGTTAAATACTTATCCGAGGAAATAAATTCATTGATATGAAAATCGGACTGAGATAAAGGAAAGGAATGTAATAGCAGCAAATTATTTGATTCAAGGACAAATGCAACAAATATCTACAATGATTTTGAATGTCTGAAAGTTGACAAAAGGGACGTATAATCTTTAATACTTGCTGATACATGTACCAGTGATAATCAGTGTTGTAATAGATATGTATGTGAAGTGCAGAAAAAATCTCACTTGCAACTGCAGTGTATATTCAAAACAAAATTCAGTTCTTATTCCAATTCATTAATTATTTCAGGCACTGTAATTCATACTCGGAAACTCAATACCTTTTGTTTTCACATCTTACGCACGCCCAGGTTAGGGAGCAGTTTATGAAACAACGTTTTGTAAAATCATTAAATTAATAGATATCTCACGAGAAATGAAAAAAAAAAAAAATGAAACAATAATAACAACCATTTAGACTTAGAATTAAGCAATTTTTAAAAACTTTTATTCATAACTTTTATGCATGTTATCAATATGGAAGCAATGAAAAAAAAAAGAGAGTCTCATTTCCCCATGGGCATATTCTACTATGTAACACAACCACAAGGAGATCGGCCGCTGCTGCGGTCGATAATAACAGTTATTGGCATATTAGAGTGCAAATACATGTAATTTAAAATATTTTAAATTCCTTCAAATGTTGTTCAAACATATCAGATATAGATGGTAAACCAGTTGGCATAGTGTATTGAAAAAAGTTCTATAAGTCATTTAAATAAATTGAAAATGAAAAGATGACAGATTTTCTCCTTGTCTGGCTCCATTTTTACATTAAAAAAAACCCCAGTAACCTTATTATCATAAACTATTCTTGACTTGATTTGATCATTTTTCCATTAACATTGCTTGAACTTGAATTTAAGTGTATTAAAGAAAAACACTTTCATGAAAAATAATATTACAAATTCCCCATCAATACTATTTAACAACTTGAAAATATTGATATTTTTTAAGTACATGTACAAAAATACAATGTGTAGATAAAAAAAAAATGTATTGTCAGTATTCCTATTTTTTAAATATTCATTTATTTGTTTATTTGTCTATTTATTTATTGTAATTACTTTTTTTATCAATTAAATAAAGTTGAATGAAATTTAATGTATTTATCTGATTAATTTATCAAATACTTATCCACGTAAGCACAAGTAAATCTACCTGTACCCCTTCCGGACTTTTGCATATCATTTCCGACATTTTTTTTTAAATTTCATTTCCGACAGTTTTTATTCTCATATCCGACATTTATTATTATTATTTTATTATGTTCATTTCCAGAATTTTTGCAGGGTACCTCTCTGCCAAAATGTTAACCAAGTAGGTGGAAATGGAATTTTAAAAGACTTTATTTCAAACCACATTTTCAAAATATGCGTTATAATTTCCATCCTAACATATCTGATTTCAAACTTAAACTGAGCATTTGAAAAGGAGATGAGCGAAAGTTTACAACACTTATAAGTGCTCAGGGAAAGAAAAATCTTTTATTATTTTCGCTTCAATGATAGCTGGACAAAACTCTTTATTTGGATTTCAAAGATTTATTCATGATTTATTCTTTAAAATTTTCATATAAGTGAAGTCTCCAATCTTGCTTTCATTGCCGAAAAGTACCACCTGAAAAATGTCGGAGATGAAAACTTGAAAATGTCGGAAATGAAAACTATAAAATGTCGGAAATGAAAAATTGAAAATTTTAAAAAATTCCGGAAATGAAATGCAGCCTACTCCTTAGAGGGACCCTTAATGGAGTGTTATAATTACTAAGTCTAGTTGTCCCCCGTCCCATAGCTGAACTGACGTAATGGCTTCCCTCTTTTTTGTACAAATTTGTACAATTAAACGAGATGTCTTTTAAGTTGGTATGAAAAATAGTTCTTGAATGAATTTTGTGAAACGTGTAACAAGTGCAGTCTTTCAGAGGGATTCAAAAATTTTCAAGTAAACTGATAGAGTGCACAATATATCTTTTCTCAACAATGAGGAGATAATTTTAAGGAAATGATTGAAGAAAAAATGGGATGCAGTCATAAAGAATTTAATTGCTTGAATGTTAAAACGATAGTGTCTGCCGGGTTATACTTTGTATGCTCTTAAATGGACATTTCGTTTGAAATTGTTTTTATTACAGATTAGGACAGGGCACAATTTTTAACAATCCTTGTGAATTGTATACAGCAAACATTTTTCTACTTTCTTGTCAGAAAATATGAAGTATGTGTACTATTTACAAATTATGAAGTAAAGATGCATCAACTCCCTTCAGTACTCTCAGTACTTTAGTATTATAACTCATCAGCGAAGCCAGTGATATAAATTTTATACGATCCCATCAAATGAAAGATGAATTTCAAAATTTATAATGATTGTAAATGGTTAACACCATTAACTGGTAAATGGAGAAAAAACGGAAAACAAATAAATTGTTAGTTAACTATTTCATATACTAAACATCCTAAATGGGTGCTCTCCCTTTGCACGAAGTCTTCAGGGTGAGGAGGTAAAGAAATATTCGTCGGAAAATTTGGTTTGCGAGGGAGAAAGCAAGAGAATTTTTAGGAGACACTAAAACCAGAGTCCTATTTCTTCCTTTTTGTAGCAGTTCTATTTGTATAAAGGTAAGAACTGGAAAGGTTTATGCATTATACAACAAAACGTTGTGGTGATATGGGTTTCTAAAATTACGTGAAAAAGGAGGGAGACACAAAAACTTGGTTTAGGAGGGAGACAAAAAGCAGTGGAATATAATACGAAATTAAATCAAACTCAAAGGTTCTGCTTGGATTTTATATAAGTACTTGTTCAAGTAAAATTTTCTGTACCTTTAAGAAAACAAAACAAAAAAAAAAAACCATTTAGTCAAGAGAAGGTTGGAATCACGGGAGATCTTACCTGCTCTGTTCTCTACTACACATATAAAAATACACAAGTTACCCGAAATAACCCAAAACTGCAGTCCAAGTTGTTCAATTCGGTTTCGGTTCCATTTTTCTGGATTTCGGTTCAACAGGTTGGGCACAGTTCCTTTTTGAGGAAGTATTACTATAAAACGGGATTATTCCTCTTTTCAGTAATAAAAAACATTACTGTATACGGGAATTTTCATTGTATTTTTAAAATTATGCATCAAATCCGTTTATTAAATAAAAAGTGCATGAAAAATACGATGTGATGTGTTTAAACTTTATTACACCAACCTCGCTGACAAAAAATTCAGTCCTTTAGTGCTGCAGACAGGAGTAAGATGAGATTTAATCGTACGACATCATGAGTATTCTTCAAACCAGTGTGAATATTCAATCTCACAATTATAACACAGATAAGCTTCCGTAAGAAATTTATATCGTAGAAATATTTCATCACTCTTTTTCAGCATTTTGCAGCAATAAATATTGTAGTTTTGAACATACATATACACTTAATAGAATATAAATATTTAGAGGATGTGAAAATATTCTTGCTCTTAATCTTTTATTCAAAGCAAACACGAGAATAGAGGGTAAATGAGTGAAAATTCCCGTATACAGTAATGTTTTTTATTACTGAAAGGAGGAATAATCCCGTTTTATAGTAATACTTCCCCGAAAAAGGAACTGTGCCCAACTTGTTCAAGTCTGGTTAATATATTTAGAATCTGTTTAATACAAACCTTGGCATCAAAATCAAAAGAATGATGACAATAACGGTGATAAATAAACATCACAACTGAAATCTACTTCATTCCTGACCATGACAAAACACTTGCCACGAAAGGATTAGATAATTATCAAAATGAGCAGGAATGGTCAGGTTGTGGCTAATAGTAGGTCAAGTAGTCCTAAACACCGATGTCTAGATGTTAATATGGTTGAAGACTTGTTTTCAATGTGAATTTAACGTAACAAATAAAGATATTTCATTGACAAGTAAAATCCATGAAATTAAGGTTTAAAATAGATGTAAATAACCGAACCTAAAAACCCGAAACCTAACCGAAAATTTACAGAACCGACTTGACCAGAAAAATTTTGGAACCATATAAGACAGCCCTACCTGTGGTTAGGTAGATTTCAAACAAAACTAAACAGGTCTGGTATAAACACTAGTTTTAGCTATGAAGCTTAAATAACCTACAGTAGCTTTAAATTTACTTGAAGTAGCTTTATATAGCTATTTCAGTGCAACATTTCTTAAGTTCCCTTTTTTTTTTAAATAAACAAAAAAAGTGCAAGTATATGGTTACTAATATTTCTAGTAATAAAATGCTGTATTGCATCAATTTTTTTTGCTCAATACATGTACACAGCCCTACATCCTGAAAAAAATGCTAATTTTAGAAAAAAGTATGATTTAGTAGCGAAATAAAGCACTTCAGGTAGGTAAATAAAGCTATGAGGGTAATTCAAGCTATTTAGCTAAATCTAGTGATTGTTCCAGACCTGAATAAGGCAGTTCAAAAATATCAGTTGTGTTTTATCTTTAAAACTGTAAGAAATTGATAGAGTTGAGTGTCTGCATGAGAAAAAATTATGTTGTAGATGAACTGATAAAAGGAGAAAATGAACTTCAACAGAATGCCCCTGCATCCCCAATTCCCCTCTCCCTCACACCTACCCCCTAATGCAGGCCCTCCGCCCATGCCACCCAACCCAGGACACCCAGGACACATACCCCAGGGCATGCCCCCACCCCCACACTTACCACAGCACATGGCTCATGGAGGAGGACATAGTGGGCCTGACCTTGGGAGAAATGATGGCATGATGATGCAAGGACATTATACGAACCAGGTAATTTCGTAATTCAGCCAAAACAAATTATTGGATTTGTTTGAAATTTTTTGTTATTTTGTCCTCAGAAAGGCTTCTTTTAAATGCTCTTTTTGTTTTGAATCAAACTGCAATACACTGTATAGAACTGGAATATCTCGCAATTCTAATTGAATAGCAGAACTGCAAATTTCTTTAAAAATTGGACAACTAAAGAAATTATCCCTTCTACTGTAATTGTACACCTGTATAAGGTATAGAAATTTAGTATACAATATTGAGTTTAATTTGTGACAATTAAAGCACTTACATTTGATGAAAACTAATTCAGAAACTTTCAAAAACTCTGCGAAGGGAAATAACTCTTCTGTTAAGAGAAGTTATCTCTGTTTTTTTTTTTTATTTTGCCCTAGGATGTATATTCAGGTGGAGGGGATCCAAACCAAGATTTCATGGAGATGAATAATATCCTGGTAGATGGTGGAGATAGGTTTGGTGTGTCCACTCTCTGCTATGATACTCAGGAGTTACTCTGGATGGGAAATCAGGGGGTGAGTATAAATGGACTAGAACAATTTTCTGTGTTTTATTGTAGAAGTACAGTAAACTTTGTCCATAACTGTCAACAGTTGGTTCCATGAAAGTTGGCCTGATAAGTCATGATTGTGGAATGCAGGAAAATGTTTATTAGGGCCCCGCAAGGATTTGTGGGTGTCCTATAGTAATCACTTTGTCAGTCGGTCTGTCCAGATGTTCGTCTGTCATTCTTCTGTCCACAAGTTTTCTGTTTTTTCTAATAACATTTTGTTTAGTTGACCAATTAAGTTCAAATTTGTTATGTTGGTTGAATAGGCAGTAGGACATATTTTGATGCTAAGTTTGAATCTCTATGTCATCCAATTTGGAGCTGGGGAGGTTACGTAGATTCCTTAACTTATACCAGGGCAAAGAGAGATAACTGCTGAGAATCTTCCTATTGTAAACTATGAAAGCTACAACTAATCCCGTGGGATTAATTAACTTTCCTCTTGAAGAAAATCCAAAGCATTATCTGTTTCTATCAAATTGAGATTAATTGACATTTCTGTGTGCAAGTGAAGTTTGTTTTGAAGTTAAGGTCAATTCTGAATGATGTTTACATCCTTTGAAATGTGGATTTAAATAATGTTCATACTTTATTTTGCTAAAATACACAATGAGTTATGATTTTATTGAATTCTAAAAACAAATTTAAGATATACATAATGATATCTTTTTTTATTATTTTTTTTTTTTAAATTTGTTTTTTTTTCTTTCTTTTTTTTTACTGCCTTAAATGTAAATTCACGAACACTATTAATTTTAACAGGTAGTCAGATAATAACCTCATTCTATCATTACTGAAAAAGATCTTTTGTAAACTTGGAAGAAAAGGATGAGAGAGCAGTACAATTATTCCCCTGGGATTAATTATCTTGCCTAGTGCAGAATATTTTAAAGGCTTATCTTTATTTGTCACTTTAAAGCTATACATGCCATATCTGAGCTAAAAAATAAAAATACAAGATTGAGTGTAGATAAACATGATATATGTTATTTACGTTCAAATTAACGAGGCCAAGTCTAATTCAAGTGCGCATGACTTTGCGCAGCTTTTTAGTTTCATGCAGTTGTAGGGGCAACATAACACCTATCCTAAGTATTGTAATTTTGATACAAAATTAACATTATATTACATTATCTGTAACGTTTATGAGTCTTAAAATGTGCTTTTAAGACAATAAATAGGAATAAACGCTGAAATGGCTTTCACGACGTCACTGTTTTCCAGTTCTGTAAGCAATGCATGACGCTGAAGAATGACGCATAACTCGCTTGAGTTTTCAAGACGTCAGTGGACATTTTATTAAGAACTGTTGACAGAACATCAAAAGAAACATACCAGTTATCTAAACATTGTTATTCTTTTTACAAAAATAATTCATGTACGCCAATATATATAAAATATATACCGCAATATGGCAAATTTAGAGGTATTGGGCATTGGAAAAAAAAAAACCCTAGACCAAACCAGATGGTTAACTTTTTTGAAATTTCACAGTTTGGTGACTTTTTACAATAACTTTTATGTATCTGACTGAAAAGGAAATCCCTAGGGCAGAAATACAAAAAATATGGGAAAAATGTGATAATTTGGCGCTTTTCCAACAAATTCCCATAGGGTCCAATAGTAAAATTTGACAACTTTTGAGATGGCCCCCTTAGAAATCAGGATGGTAAACATTTGATTTTTTTTTTTTAATCTTAAAATAATTAAATTAATAGTAAAAATTCATTCAAGAAGATTTATCAAAATATCTAGGATAGAAACAATTAGACTTGGCCTTGTTAAAATTTTCACCGATTTTGAACTTGAATAATCTGATGTTTCCATAGTTAAATTGATTTTAGACTGTGTCTGTAATTAAATGCGAAGTGGGTAAATAAATCGGTTATTGTTTTAAATTTCTAACATCTCTGAATCGTGATAGATTTAAATTGTGTAATTTACAGGAAAGTCCTATCTTTATATAAAGTAATAAAACAAATAGAAAGATCTTTTTAATTTTAGTTAGTCTGAACTTATAAAAAATATGCCATATTATATGACTTTAAGATAAAATGCCACCTTTCTCTGCAACTGATGTTTGTTTTGAAGTTAAGGTCAAGCCTGGGAGATATTTGCACTCACCGAAGGGCTGGCATTTTATAAAAGACATGCTTTATTTTTTGTTTAAATATACTTTTATTTGAGTTATTATAGATATGGTGTTTTTTACTGCCTTGTGTAAATACAGGTATACTATTTACAGGTTGTTGGATATTTAGCAGTTATTTTTAAATTTTATAAATACAGTTGTTGATGCATATTCTTCTTCATATATTTTAAAATTTTTCTAATCAAGTAAAATTCTCATTCTATTCTGTAAGCTCCACACTTATATTTCTACCCCGGGGGGGGGCTTGCTGACTAGTCAGTTTTCTAATTTCCTTTGTTTTATTCACATGTACGATGCATATGTTGGGTTAGATATTATTAATTGAATAATTCATTCCATATTCTTTCAGTTCCTGACCAGACACTAATTAAGAGATAACACATGACCTGTTATTTTTTTTTCTTTTTAATTCACGAAGTTTGAGACTTCAAACTCAACATGAGATGAAGTTAAATTTTCAGACACGTGTTTATATCATTTAAAAACTATGAAGTGGGGGTTTTGCAAAGTCAAATAGCACATTTTACAAAAGCACATTAAGGATTTGATAATAATTGAAGTAACATTGAAAATGTTTTGATAAACATCCACGTCTTTCTTTTTTTGCCATTTTGAAGGATGGTCATGGTTGATCCCTATTTATGTTTTATTTGTAAACAATACATTGTTATAGATTTTATGCTATATTGTGTGATATTATGAGTTAAAAGCTAGTTTAACGCCTAAGTAATTTTTAATTAAGTAGATGTTTAATTAAACATATGTTTAATTAAATGTGTTGAATCACCAATGGGTGTTACTTCATATCCTGTCACTTTTGTAAACACACGCCAGCACGTACATCTACCATGCCAGGTGTTAATTGAAATAAAGTGAATCAGCTAATTTTGTGGCCAGATGAGATCAAATGATTACCGTTAGGTACCATAATCCCAAGGAAACCCCAAGTATACCATTTGATACCCCATGGTACCCCAAAAGATGTACCTCCATTAGATATGAGTAATTGGGACCAATATGGCTGCTCCAATATAGTTTTCGATTGACACGATTTTAGCAAGAGTTATTTCCCATTGGGCGCCATATTGGAGGTGTACAAGCCAGAATCCCTTCATTATTCAACCAATTTAAACTTGTCTTACTGGGCAACTATGTGAAGATAACACAATTTTTCTTACAAATTTATGTTAACACAAGCTTCCTTTAATTCATAATTTTAGTATTTTAAAGATTTTTGCCCATATACATCTGCCGTACAAGTTTAAAATTGGTTGCTTAAAGAGGAAATTCGCTAGTTGGACCTCCAATATGGCGGCCAACAGGAAATAACTCTTGCTTAATTCAGGCCAGTTGAAAACTATCTGGAACAGAATAGACAGTGTCCAGAATATAGAGAATATTTGTACAAAATTTGTTAAAGAAATGCATGGGACTAAAGTTAAAGGCTGGAATGGACAAAATTCTGGGGTTCTCAGAATCCGGATTACAGAAATTATATTGTATTAGAATAATATCTTATATCAAACATTTTAAAACCTTAAAACTCTATGTAAAGCTCAATATAATACTGACATTAATGTTTTTTTTAATTCCAAAAAAAAAACCAAAAGTGTGTGCATAGGTATTTTTACAAAAGATACCTTTGCTGCTTAGAGCTATTTATATTCTGTGTCATGTAAATGTATGCTTTTGAATTCACTTGTACATCATAACTTATATTTCAATTTTTAAAGAAAAAATTAAATCAGTATACTGTGTACAATGTATGACAATATTTTTTTATGTGTTTTATCATACAGGGACATGTGACTTCATACTTTGGATTAGAATTACAGAAGTACACGTCCTTCCAAGTTCATGTGAATGAAGATGTTAGACAGATTGTACCTCTGGCCAGAGGAGTTCTCTCTCTTACTCAGAGCAGTCTAGCTTGTAACAATAGGAGGGGGGTCCCCTTATTCACTTACAGGTAGGCTACAAACAGGTAGGAATTATGTAGATGGAGAGTCATCCATTAAATATTTTAGGCTGTGTTTGCAGATGAGTATAAAATTGTCAATAATGATATAATAAGGGGGACAAAATCATGCATGTGATTTGGCTGTGTATTAAGTTTAGATGTACACTCAGGGATTTCGGCCCCATTCCCAATTGAAAATGAGTTCAGTTTTTCCCAATTTGGTAGTATTTTTTCCCAATTGGTGAACAATGCTTTTATATTTAATTATCTTGGAAAAACACAGACTAAAATTGTCAGATTGTCTGTAATTTTCATCTATTTAACTCATTTAGCAAATTAAAGCTACAGTCATAAAACATGTCTAAAAACACTGTAAAAACATCGCCAACTTTTAATCCCAAAATCCTCTGTTTTTCTAAAAATGGTGATATTGTGTCATTGTATAGATTTATTAAGTTATTTCCACCTATTCAATTGATCTACTCGTGAATGGTAAGGACTGTAGGCATTATTTCAGATAGAAAAATATATTTTCAATGTTTTACAGACCCTGAAACGTGCTACTACCCCATACGCACGCTGCACGAACAGTACATACTCGCTACACGGTTTGCACGAAATGCTGCACGGTTTACACGAAACGCTACACGGTTTGCACGAAACGCTACACGGTTTACACGAAACGCTTTGCACGAAAGCTGCACGGTTTACACGAAAGCCTGCAGGAAACGCTTTCTACACGTTTCTCACACGCTTTGTACACGATTCTCGCACGCTTTGGCCTCGATCTGGATTTTCTATTCGGAATCTCTTGGACTTTATTTCAGTTATTACGGATTAATCAACGAGTAGTTAAGAATTACAATCATTCAGATTAAGTTATGATTAAAACTCGCTACACCAGAACTATATTAACAGATAAAATACTCAATGTTCAGTTGTAATTAATTAATAGTTGTCAATGAGTATGTGACCCGCCCGATGAAATGCTCATCATCGTCAAACTTTTTTTCACTAGACTCTAAATTATGCACTGAAAAAAAAATAATTATATTTGTTACAGCATTTAATGTTTTTACAATTATAGTTTGATACTAAAAAGACGTTCCATTACTGACAAATAAACTCAGTTTCACAGTTATATTTGAAAAAAAATATTGATTAAATTGCATATGATTTCTGTTAACGGATTGATTTTCTTTTCCTTTTTTATTATTGATTGATTTATACATTTTTTTTTTTTTTTTTATTTAGTAAAGAAAATAATTTCATTTGATTAAATTAGGCTCTGTTTAAAATTTTCAAATGTAATGTGTATACTGCTTCAAACCGGAACATTGTGCAGGAAAGGGGGGGGGGGGTTAGATTACTGAGATCTTACGGGCACTTGGTTTAGTAAGTAAACAATCGGGAAAAAAATTATTATAGAAACAAGTGCCCGTTCTAAGAAAAAAAAAGATATTCATGTCTTCAGCGGGACCCAATACATGTAATTCATTAATATGCACTTCATTCAGAATGGTAAATATATATTTTCATTACAGAGGTAAACTTTAATTTATCATTAAAATCTTATATGGTAGAGAAGCCGGGGGATATGTATTGTAATTCTTTCGTTCTCTCTTCGGGTATTGTGTTTATTAAATATCAATATACAATGTCAAACCGCCTTTTAAAATCCTTGATTTCAAACCCCGTCTAGAAAAAAAAATCAATAATTATGTAATCAATAGTCGCGGCTCTTAACAATACATTCAATATATATGTATACATGTCCTATGTCCTAGAACTGCATGACTAATAAAAACAATTAATATATAATTATATAGGATTTATTTCTTTATATTATTTTATTCAGGATCTCACTGGCAAATTAATTCACTGTTTACAGACAATCGGATAAATTTAAGAAATAAAATCAACGGGTATTACCGTTTAATTAATCGATCGTTATTGTCGGGTGTCATCTTAGATATGATTGACAAGAGATAATAGCAGAACAAGTTTTCAATCCCGGCACGCGGAGTCCGTGATCGCTGTCGTAAATGACCTTGATCGCAGTCGTAAGTAGATTGTTGAAAGTGTAAAGAAGAATCCAATATATTTTTTTAAGGGTGAATTGGGTGCACCCCTTCGAAAAAAGCAATAATTTTCTTACAAAAGAAAAATATCAATAAAACACTTGTTTACAACAAAAACTCAGTTTTTGCTTTCATTTGATCACCCCCCCTCCCCCCCTGAAATATTTAACCTTGTATTTGCTGATGTATGTGAATTATAATTCATTTACAAGACTTTTATTAATCAACCGATTTTATGCATAAAAAGACAATAAATGACTCATCAATTTCAAAATTATTTGTATCACAATCTTGTAATATAAGAAAAATATGTTCGTTCATAAAGAAAATCAATTAACTGTGCTCCCCGGCCTAGAAATCTTATACTTCACATTTATAGCAACACACTAAATTTTGCATTTTATTTTTCATGCCTGCCATACATGTATCTACATGTATCTATTATTTTGTATGAATCACCGATATGTTCTCGTAATCTCTATATCCCATGTACAATGGTGAAGGTATTCAAATAACTGAATGAAAAGGACAAGACCGGATTCCTAATGAATTTTCTTTTAAAAAAATATATTAAGTATTGCTCCCTTTAAAAAATGTATTGAATCAATTACCTTTAAATTGATGTGCATATAATTAATTACTTTTAACACATTTTTTGTCCATCTTTATATAGATAAAGAAAGAAAGAAAATCAAACAAATATGTAAAACATTACCGAATAATTTTATTTTGTTGTTTCCGTATATTTTTTTACTCTTAAAATACCACTGGTATGATATATCCGAATAATATTAGCTATAAACAACACAGAATGACATGTTGATCCAACAATAGTCATATTCAAAATAAGAGGACTTCCGAATGAATCCTACACGTTTCTCACATGATTCTTGCATGAAAATCGCACGTTTCTCACACGGTTCTTACACGAAAGTCGCACGTTTCTCGCACGCTTCTCGCACGCTCGCTACACGGTTTGCATGAAACGCTTTGGAGCTTACATGAAATGCTGCACGGTTTACACGAAACGCTACACGGTTTGCACGAAACACTGCACGGTTTACACGAAACGCTACACGGTTTGCACGAAACGAAAAGCGCACGAAAGTCACACGCTTTTTTGGGGTAGTAGCACGTTTCAGAGTCTGTAATATATATTAAAAGAGGACTTTGAGAAAATGTGTATAGTATAAGCTTATAAACTCCAGAAACAGATTCTATAATGACCTAAATTGGAATCTCATACACACAGTTGTATAGGTAAATACTTTATACTCATTGAAGTCAATTTTACTTTTGTTAGTCTATTATTCATAACTGATCTTGTATGATGAAGTTGGATCATATTTAATTGTCTGTTTGATTGCCCAAATTAGAGTTCATGCTGAAATGTTAAATGAATTACACCTGAATACATGATTTAAGCAACATTTAAAATTTTTCCCAATTTCATCAAATAGCCGATAATTTTTTCCCAATTCCCCAAAAATGGCGTTTCCCAAGATAGGCTGATAAATCACTGACACTGTACACTTTTGGTGTATTATGGACTCTGATGTTCATAGCCCCAAACATACCAAATAAGTTGGATTTTTAAGTTTCATACCAATTAATTAGCCATTGTTTTTACACTAATTTTTAATATGGATTATTCCATTTACCTGATGAATACAGAGGGCTCATGGTTGGTGTGACTGGGAGACAGGGGATGCTTACTCCTCCTAGGCACCTGATCCCACTTCTGGTTTTTACAGTAGTCTGTGTGTTTGCCTTGTTCTGGATTTGTATTTTGTACAGAATATGTTAGATACATGTGGGCCTCTGTTCGTCATCTTTACGTTTTCATTCTCTATCTTAAAGACTTGGATATGTTTAAATTCTTTGTTATAGTCTGGCTGAGTTAAAGATACAACGTACTGTGTTTTAACTGTTGTAAACTTATATTGTTCAATTTTATATCTATATGTAATGAATCAAAGTATTTCATACAGTTACATGTATATTTCCTAGTTGTTGTACATATGAATTTGTAGAGGTCCTACATACAGTTACATGTATATTTCCTAGTTGTTGTACATATGAATTTGTAGAGGTCCTACATACAGTTACATGTATATTTCCTAGTTGTTGTACATATGAATTTGTAGAGGTCCTACATACAGTTACATGTATATTTCCTAGTTATTTTACATATGAATTTGGAGAGGTCCTATGATGCACAACATACAGTTACATGTATATTTTCTAGTTGTTGTACATATGAATTTGTAGAGGTCCTACGATGCACAACATGCAGTGTATGATGATGACAGGACCATCCACAGTGATCATTGGGGGTCATCAGACAAAGGTCATAGAGATAGAGGTGGAACACAAGGAGGTCATTCGAGAGGTGAAGGACATACTCATAGCAATATAATACATTTTACTTATTGATATCTTCAAATTCAAAAAGATATCTATTGAAATTGTTTTTCTTGTTCGACTCCATTGAAGCCTTTCAGGCTTTTGATTTTATTTTTGTAAATTAGAAAAAAATTATATTTGTTAACAGGTGGATATCCCTGAGCCTGGTTGTGCTATATTAAGAGGCACCAACAAATACATCTGTGCTGGTGATACTGCAGGAAAGGTATCGGGGAAACATCATGTTAGGGAAGGGGGGATGCAGGGGTTCATAATTTGGGGAATGAGACTGCTTCAGGTTATATGCAAACCTCTCTTAAGTTTTGACAATGAGTAAAATTTTGTGTGAAGACTTAAGATTTTAATGTACCAATCGCTATGTATTATTTCCACTTAAATAAATCTGATTTGATTGATAAAAAAAGGTGCTATAGAAAATGATTTTTTTTTCCTCTTAGGTAACCTTATTTGACCACTCCACCATGAAGGCCGAGCACGTTCTGGACGCCCACACCGGTACACTGTCAGACTTTGACATACAGGGCAATCTTCTGGTCACATGTGGTTTTTCAACAAGGTACATTTTCAAATTTTTCTTAGTACTTGCACAGTAAATACATACCATACATGTACATAAATTGACATATTCAAGATTTAGGACAACCATTGGATATTGAGTGCATGTTCTTGAATTAGTAATATACATGTCTGCTCCATGTATTGTATTCAAGAATGATTTATTAAAGGTATTCATGAATTAAAAATATGAAACCCGCTTTTCTAAGTACACATACAGCATTGTCTACATTTATACCATGCTTTCATCTGGTAATGCTTCAATGTTATCTCAGAAAAAATCATGCAAGTAGATACTTATAAGGCACCATGGAATCTTCACCGTTACTTGAGGACCATTGTTTGTGGATGTGTCGGGTCACCCTTACCCATGAACTTACAATCCTATGAAAAATAACTTTGTCATCACATTGGTTCATTCTCTATACAAGTGACACCCAAAAAATTTTGTCTCCACGAACCAGTAAACTATGGTTGTCGATGACATCAGTGCTCAAAAATTAAAATGATTTCACCTTATAACAATGATTAATGTTAGAGTATATGCCATGCCCTATATTTACAGACATAGTAATTTGACGGCGGACAGATTTCTGATGGTGTATGATCTGAGAGTTATGAGAGCTATGGCCCCTATACAGGTCATCATTGATCCAATGTTCCTACGATTTGTGTCCACTTACACCAACAAAATGGTCATCACTTCACAGGTAAGCTGGACAGATTCTGAACTTTCAGTTTTGCATAAGCAAACATTTTGATGAAGTAATAGTTACAGGAAATGTCTGAGAAATCAGATATCTTAGCCACATTTTTCTATTAATACATATAAGTTAAACGAACATTAGAATTTGCTTGAATCAATATATTTCTGTTGATACCTGAAAGTAGAACTAAAATGGTATTTTGCAGTGAATGAAAATAATTAATTCTAAGGATAGATATTTATGATTTAGAATTGTGCAATTATCTCTCCACAAGTTTTCCTGCTATGTTATTGTCAGTGGTATATCTGCATTTTCTTGTGTAAACTGCAGTAGTTGGGTGTGCTAATCTCGTGAACTGTTTACCTGGTTCTTGTAGGCAGGCCAGTTTCAGATCATAGAAACAACAGCAATGACGCCGTCTTCAATGAATGTCTACCCTATCAACACCCATGGTAGTCCACTGCTCAGCTTTGACATCTCAAACAGCTGTCAGGCTCTTGCTTTCGGAGACTCGGGAGGTAAGAGCAAAGTCAGAGGTGTTCTATGCAGAGAATTTTGTCGTTTTATCCCCCCCAACAAAACCTCCACTGAAGGTAATTATGATTTTAAGGAAATTGAGAAGTAACTTGGGAGGTAAGAGCAAAATCAGAGGTGCTCTATATGTCTTTTATTAAATCCCCACCCCACCCCCCAAACTTTCTGAATTTTTTTCATGATTTCATGGAATGTGAGATGTGATTATGGGAAAATATTTTTTCTTTTAAATTTCAGTACAAACATGTACATAAATGCATCATTGTGTGTGAGAGTATCCCCACCCTACCCCCTAAAATACTGATAATTAATCACTTGAAAAAATATTGCACAATAACTAATGTCATCGTGTGTTTATGGTCGGTTATAATTTAGATATACATGTAGTTTGATTCTCATGTCATAGTGAAAGTCAGTACCAAATGACAGATGTAATGTAGTGAAATATAAATGCTTCTTATGGTAAGTATATTATATGATTTTACTGTGACTTCCTAGCTGTAAAATCTATTTTTAGGCTATTTGCATCTGTTTGCCCTTGTAGTGAAATATAAATGCTTCTTATGGTAAGTATATTATATGATTTTACTGTGACTTCCTAGCTGTAAAATCTATTTTTAGGCTATTTGCATCTGTTTGCCCTTGGGGAGCACCCTTGCTACAACCAGTATCCAGAGCAGACGGAGTTCCCTGATCCTGTAAGTTAAATTGTTCACATTATTGCATTGTAAACCAACCCCAGTCCTGTAAGCCATTCAAGATAAGTTGTTAATAAATTATATATGTGTTAGCGTTTTAATTAAGAATTGGAACAGAAGAAGGGAACAAAATGGCAAAAATACAGCTCCCACAAAAATAACAAGCTTTCAAAACGATGTTTAAATGGATTTTATTGGGAACCGATATTACGTAGCCCTCGGTATTACGATATTTTCCCATGACAAAATGAACATCGTAATAACGAGACCGCACTGTGTATCATATATTTTGCGTATTCATGTTAAAGAAATAATATGAAATACTTGTAATAATCTGCCTTTTATATACAAATTTATGACATCCTAGTATAATCAGTGAAATCGCATCGGAAGCAGTAAGGGATTCCAACCAATGATTGATTATGAAAATACCTATATCCCATCACTAGCATCAATATTTTTTTCCCCTTTCTTTTGACCTTGACCTCACTACCTTGACATTTCCTTTGACCTTGACCTCACTTTTCTTAAATTAGGGTTTAACTCAGTTTTATTAAACCATTCTAGATAATATTGTCAAGATTCATATGTTTATACATACAGAAGTAAGCTATTCAACTGTATCAACATTTTTTGACCTTGACCTTTTCTTTGACCATGGACTCGCTTTTCTTGAATTAGGGTTTATTTCAGTTTTAAAGAAGCTATTCAAGATAGTGTAATCAAACTTCATATGCTGATATATACTGCTGATAGCTTTTCAAATGTAACATCATCTCCTTCTCAAGAACCCTTAGGCCAATTTCAACCAAACTTGCTACAAAGTATTCTTGGGTAAAGGGAATTCAAGTTTGTTCAAATGAAGGGCCATGCCTTCTTCCAAGGGGAGATAAATATGAATTCGTGAAAAATTAATTGCATCATTTAAAAATCTTCTTCTCAAAAATGACCATGCTTGAAAATATGACCAAATAATTTTGCCAATACATAGAATACTATAGAAAACATAGCTACAATATGCTGTGCCCCCTCAATAATAACGTCTGATGACCCTTATTTTTTATTGTTTGTCAAGGAACTTTTGGTAGTTGATAAGTGCCCCCCAGAGAATAGCACATTTCTCCAGCGTTGCAAGGGAAATCTGTTGGGATGATGTCTATGTAACCAGTCCATTCGAACATCCCTACGGTTGCGCGTCAATGGCAAACCTTTGTACAGCCTCCGCGCTCTAAGACCTGCCTCCCTCAGCCCATTTCATACCGTTTTTGCATTTATTCATGCATTGTTACGTCATCAGAAATGAGCAGTAGTTTCTACAGTCATTTGCAAACAATTTCTTAGATGAAGTAGATGAATTTCTCTGTCTTGGCGCCCAGTCATTACCCTTGAATGTCCAGTTCTAGGGTGATCGCTTAGACTTCCTGTTGTCAGCATCCGACGTCTATGACGAGATATTGTTGACTGTGCAATGTTAAATCATTTAGCAACAGAAATTTGATCTTCCCCTCGTAAGAGTAACCCTGTTGCTTCACCCCACTGACGTTTGTTCAAGCGAGGCATTGTAGCAAGTTGATGTCAACACAAATAAAGTGCGGAACTTTTGCACATAAATATCAAATATTCAAAAATGATCAACAATGATTACAAATTGTAACATGTGTACCTACCTTTGGCCAAAAATTGTTGCCAAAATTTCATGCTTTATTCCAAACACGCTCTTTTCATGGTTGAATGATTTTCCATTCATGAACCTCTAGCCGACGCTCAATAGAACAGCTAAAAACAATAATTAACTCGCATCTTCTTTTCATGTAAATAGAGTACCAAAAAGTAAAATATGCGTTTCTTTTTCCTTTTAGTATATAATGTTGGTAAACTTACTAACTCCATTAAATGACATAATACAGGCAAGATGTAACAGAATTATGTTGACATGTGACTATTTATATCAATATGCGACTTATTTATGTCAATATGCAACTTGTTTATGTCAACATGCAACTTATTTATGTCAACGTGCAACTTATTTATGTCAACATGCAACTTATTTTGTCAACATGCATATGTGAAACATTGTTTGGAAAAATTATTTAAATTCTGTTTTGGTTTTTGCTTGTATTCTAGATTGACCCAATTCAGCCTATTCATATCACAGATGAATACACACCATACTCCATCATCCCAATGATGTACCCCACCAATGGAACCCTGCTCTCTGATTGGCCAGACTATCTGTCTCAGAGAACGTATAGGTAAATTATACTATTTACGTAACTCAAATGAACTTAAAGTGAAGCACAGGCATAGTGATTAATTATCTCGAGTTCCGTTATATTTTACACGTCTTTGTATGATATACCAGTAATTTGAAATAAATTGTTAATCATCTCATGGGATTTTTTGCATGTTTTTGTCCACTGGCAGATTTAAATGTTGAAGCCAGGGTTTTACGTAAAAAGAATGTCTATTTAAAGAAAGTGTCAGACTCCATTATCACCTGATTTGGATAAGGTCTAGAAAAAATATCAGGATTTTGCTAAAATGAGATGACATTTAAGATTCACATTCTCTCACTTCAAGCACTTTTTGTACACCTAATCCCATCATAAATTCTGATTTGTCCGTCAGTCTTAAATTTTCTGTTTTTTGGACAGGGTACTTTGATTTTGCCAGTACTGTTATCTTTAAAGGAAACCCAAGCCCCTTGATGCAGATATATTACGGTCCATGAAGATGCAGCACAATGTAGGGTATGCCCAAAATCCAGGGAAAGAGAAACGGAATCAGATCCCTTATGTACAGGTTAATGAAAAATCAAAGAAAGGAAAAGGTGCTGTACCTGAATCTCCAATTGGTAGAAGTATGCATCCATTTCATCGTCTTCATTTGATAACTATACCCACATGTACAATTGTTGAAACTCAAAATTATTTCAGTAGTATCTACTGAAAAAAATTTTTGAACCTTAACATAAAGTTGAACTTTAGTGTATGGAACATGTTTGTCAAAGTGAATGGACAGTCCTTATCTTATTGTTTGTTTAAGTTTCAATGTTGATATTTTGAAAACTGAAATAAGTTGAAAAAATTGAAAAATTGTGACAGTGCTATGGAGGTTTAAATCTGTGTTGACTTTTCACAGAAGAAAGCATAGTTACATATATGTTCATCTCTTTCTTGTTTTGACATAGATATACATGTATATAGTCTGTACTAAACTTAAACTAGATATTTAATTTTTACCAGTGGATGACCCTTTTATCAAAGTACCTAAGCGATTCAGAAAAGTGGATCTCAAGTACTCCAAGCTGGGACTAGAGGACTTTGATTTCAGACACTATAACAAGACACATTTTGCTGGTTTGGAGACCGACATACCTAATGCTTATTGTAACTGCATGCTTCAGGTAATGTACATGTATATGCAATATTCATGTATATACACGTAAGATGTTGAGATGTTTACCAATGAATTTTATTGAAATTTTCATGAAAAATCAGTAAATATCTTATTTGGTATTTTAATACTTAAAAAAGAACAATTGTTAATCTACCAAACATCCTGTTTTAGTCAAAAGTAAATTAACTTGTCATGTAGATAGCTCACTGCATGCCTATATCATGGATTATCTCCCTTTATCAGGTGCTCTACTTTATTGAGCCCCTTCGCTGTGCCCTTCTGAGCCACTTGTGTGAGCGGGAATTCTGTTTGGCCTGTGAGCTGGGTTTCTTATTTCACATGCTGGACAACCAGAAAGGACAGACATGTCAGGTACACAACACACGACAAGACATTACTGATCTGAGGAGGTTTAGGAAATTTATCTAATTTAGACCATTCATTATTTACCATATTTTTTCTCTAACAAAATTCATTTGGTAAAGTTCATTTGAGTTCATTTACAATCATAATGAAGTACTCTAAGTACCCTTTGAGTGATACAAAAGAGTGATCACTTTGAATTTTCGTCTAACATAGGCCAGTAACTTTCTGAGAGCCTTCCGTACTATTCCTGAAGCCTCTGCCTTGAGCCTCGTATTAGCAGAGAACGAGGAGAATGACCCGAGAATTAACTTGTCTCGTCTGATTCAGAGCTGGCAAAGATTTCTGTATCAACAAGTTCATGCAGTAAGTGATATTTATATACCTTGTTATCACACCTCCATGCAACAGGTTATTTTAGTGAACAGCAAATTTAGCAATTACATGTACATGTATCCTAAAAATTGACATTTATTTTCAGTGTAATTAAGGGATAATAATATTTATTTACGTGGAAAGTATATGTAGCGACAGCTATTTTTAGCAGTACCAACACCATCACTAATAATGCCTAAATTTGATGATTACTAAATATTCCCGTTAGACGATATTAGCTAAGAGCTGTTTACAAGAGCTACAGGGGAGGTCTGGAGATACATGTATCTTACAAAATGTCAACATGGATTTTTAAAGTCAATACAGGGTTTTTTTTTAATCCAGTTGTCAACATCTGGTACAGTCCCTGAAACGTTCTACTTTCCCATTTTTCCGTTCGCTCACCGTTCGTTCAGCGTGCGTTCACCGTTCGTTCAGCGTGCGTTCACCGTGCGCTCGCGTTCACAGTTTTGCGTTCACCGTTCACCGTGCGCTCGCGTTCACCGTTCACAAAGCGTTCAGCGTTCGCTCTTCGTTCCGTTCACTTTGCGTTCACCTTGCGTTCAGCGTTCACCTATCGTTCAGTTTTCATTGTCATTCGGAACTCCGAAGTGAAAGGACTTATCTTTTTGTAGGAAAGGAGTTACAGGTTTTTTAATTTAATAACTAACATATCGTGTTTGAAGAATCATTATTTCATGGGGGAAAATATCTACGATATATATTTTTATTATTCTAACTTAGCTGTTAGGTTATTTATTAAATTACTCTGGAAAATAAATGTTGTTATAAGCACATTCTGTACCTATGTAGAAGGATGCAGAAATATTAAATTTAACTAAGGGCAATGTGCAAATACTTCAAGCACTGCAACATTTTGTTGTTTTTTTAAAGACGACAAATCGTTAATGGTGATATAATTATCCAAGTCAAATAATTACGCAGCAAAATTACGAAAATATTTATTTCTAACACGTTTTTTTTTTCAATTAATACAGAAAATATAATAGAACTAGTTCTGAGAGTTATACATAATACTGTGGATATCCTGTTAATTTATTATCTTTGGAGCGAAATAAATTGATAGTGTGGTTAAAGGAAATATTTATTTAAAATGTACTGCACTACAGAATTTTCTCTACAATAATATGTAAAGTCTGTAGTTATAGAGAAAAAAATTCTCTCTTCACCGTAACTTTATATGTTTGCCATTCGATATGATTAATACCCCCCCCCCCCCCCCCCCCCCCGATTGATTACTTAGTTGAAGTACTGTATTTCCAGAATATTTTAATAAACACTTTAAAACAAAAAGTTAAGGTCTTTTTTAGAACACAAATTTCAGTCTCAAAACAAACATGCATCTAAAAAAAAAGTCACAAATCAGTAGTAGTTCAAAATGTACACGTGTCGGCGGTGGTATCTGAAATTGGCAGAGAGTATGTTTCAAATTCAAGTGTTAATGCCCAATGTATTTTATTCATTTATTATTGAAATGTTGGAATCAAATCTAGAAATGATAAAAATAAATGTTATAACTTGTTGGAAATACTCGCACTTCGTCTTCGATGTGACGAAACTTTAACACCTGCACAGTGTCGAATGATTTTGATTGACAGGACAAGCACGTGGACTTCGTGTGAACTTGAAGCAGGAACATAAAAACGAGTATGACTGTCAAACAAATGGATATGATTTGTTGATAAAAAAAAAAGTTACTTTCACTGTCTGATATATTTAGAAAAAAAAATCAGAGTTTTTGTTTGATATAGGTACAAACATTTAGTGAAGCCTGAAAGGAGGGGGGGGGGGCTAAAACGGAAAATTTCTCTCTCTCTCTCTCTCTCTCTCTGGATAGTATGTCTCTCTCTCTCTCTCTCTCTCTCTCTCTCTCTCTCTCTCTCTCTCTCTCGTCTGTTTAATAAAAACTATAACAGCATATTACTTAAATATCAATTTCTGTAAATTGAATTTATAACAAATAATATGAATATGTATCTTTGTATTATCTTGTCCGAGTATAACCACGGCCATCTACATATACATGTAGAAGTCTGCTCAATAAATAATCATGAAAAATAGAAATGACACATAATATATTATTGTATTAAAAATTTAAAATACGAGCGTATAAATGCAAAACGTCCACTGACCTTTGTAATTAATTTTTTTTTCATTACTTTACACGAAATCGCCTTGACACGGAGATATATGAATGGATGTTACAACCGCTTTAATTCATTCTATAAGTCAGAAGTTTTCTCTGATTTGTTATCAAATAAGAATAAATATTGTTATTTTCCAACTAAAAAATATCTTTTATACTTCAGCGTTCGGCAACAATTGCAATGTTTTAATGCGATAAAAATCGTGTGATTAAAAACTTAATGTGCATGCATCGTCTTTCTTAGGACAATTTTGGAGAATTTATTTTATTGACTTATTTATTCATTCATTTATTGGTTTACTTATTTATTTATTTATTTGGCACCTGACATTATAATACAATAAAATAGTTTCAATGCAAGGAAAAGATCAGAGGCATTCCGAATATATCGTTCAGCTTGCGTTCACCGTTCGTTCACCGTTCACTTTGCGTTCGCGTTTGCGCTCAGTTCGCGTTCAGCGTTCACTCACCGTTCAGCGTTCACACATCGTTCACCAAGTTGTGTTCAGCGTTCACACATCGTTCACTCACCGTTCGCTCTGCGTTCATTCAGCGTTCGTTCACCGTTCGTTCAGCGTTCGCTCACTGTTCAAGTGGGAAAGTAGAACGTTTCAGGGACTGTAGCTTTTCTTATTGGATGTCTTATGCAGACCAGTCTCCTTTATAAAGAGAAAACAAAGCTTTGGAAGCTTGATATACATGATCACTTCATTTATGTTTTTTTTATGTAAAATGGAGATCCTATTTACAAACTACTCAGCAATCCAGATTAAGTAGGCATTACTGTATTAAATGGAAAATATACTTATTTTTTTAGTTTCATTCAAACATCTGCATTTACTATTTAAATGGTGTAATGTATGTACATTTGTACATTCATTTTGTATTTGCTGCTTTGTTTTTTGTAGGAACTCTGTAACAAGAGCCAGCCTGTAAAAGAAGCTAAATCCGAGGAGAATTTAAACAAGTCTTCTGAAAGTTTGGCTAAATCAGATGAAAACCTGTCTGAACAACTATCAGAGGTTAGTCTAAAAACAGAGGAAGTATCAGAGGTTAGCCTAAAAACAGAGGAAGAGGCCTCCAAGCCTGAGGAAAAATCTGTGGAAACCACACCCCCCAAGTCCAAGAAAAAAAAAAAGAAGAAGGGGAAAAAGAAGGGGAAAGAGCATCCTGAGGAGGAAAAAACGGAGAAAGAGAACGAGGGGGACAAGGGGTCAGAGACCGCTGAGGATGAGGGTAAAGAGGGGGACAAGCTCGAGGAAGGAGGAACAGATGTTCCTCCAGCTGAAAAGTGAGGTTTAGATGATATGTAAAACGAGTTATCTCTCTTGGCATTTTCCACCTGTTTTCACAAGTTATTTTCATTAAACCCAAGATCCAGTTGGTTAATATCACCAAATATGCCAAAAAGTAAATGTATTCAAAGGAATGGTCGTGGCCCTTTTCATAGATAGATGATTAAGAAATAGTGAAAAGGGGATAAGGTCATTTGAAATTCTTTCCTTGAAGCACATAGGTAAGGATGACAAAACATGTTTAAGCTTCTATATAATGGAATTCAAGTAACAAACCATGACTTCAGGGGCCAAGATGGGACTTCAAAGTTGGACATTTAAACATATAGGGAAAAAGCTTAAAAAGAACTACAAAACTAAAATGTGCAAAGGCATCCCTATTCCGTATGTATGTGTACATGTACAAGTTTATTTTCCTATGGTTCTGCAGACTAGAATAAATGAAATAAAATATTCCAAGGCTAAAAAATTATTAAATATTTTCTACTTGAGAACTTTTAAAAGCATCCTTATTCCAAATACATGTGTATACATGTACAAGTTTATTTAATATATGTTCTCTGAACTAGAATATGTAAAATATAAGATCTGAAAGTTAAAAAATTTAAATATTTTTTCTATAGAACTACAGGACTTCTAATTGAAATATTTATGTGCAAATGTTATTGTGTAGTTTAGATTCAAGTTTGTTTAAAATATGGTCCATTTTCATAGACAGATTTTCAGAAGGGACTAAATTATTACATAGAAAAATACATGTATAAAAATTACTGTTGAATATCTTCTAAAATAGAACAATGCTACAGATTATTTTCCTATAATAATGTAGATTCATTTTTACTCAATTATGGTCTATATATAAATATTATTGCACACAATTGGCAGTAGGCATAGTACAGGAAAAAAATAGCATGTGTCCATGCATGAACATGTGATTAAAATTCCAAATCCATATTTTTGACATCATGAAACTAGCTTTACATCAGAATGGGCCATGCAGCTTGCATATACAGAGTGTTTACATCTGTAATGTTTGTACAATAGTGTATATTGTTCAAATTTTTATACCTTTACGAAATCATGGTCTATATTAAAATATTATCGCACACGTTTGGTAATGTGGTTATTATTAAGAAAATTATAGCATTTGTCTAAAAAGAACTTAATGGACAACCCGCATATTAGTTCTGTTTACTTGAAAATAAATTTGAACATTATAAAATAATTCTGCTTTCTTATATTAGAGTTGAGGAAAAGTCAGCAATATCTGAAATCTTGGGATTCAAGATTGTCACAACTCTGAGGTGTCGTTGTGGACAGGAGACCCAAAGGCAGTCCGATACCAACATCATAAACCTCAGCTACCCCGACTGTAACCCACCAGGTAAATTATTGTCAGAAATATCACACGGAGTTCCCGGGGGGGGGGGGGGGGGGGGGGGATTGTTTGGATTGCTTTGATTGAAGTTGTATATATATATATATATATATATATATATATATATATATATATATATATATATATATATATATATATGTATGTATGTATATATATATGAGGGCCGTTCAAAAATTACACGGACTTGTTGCTCAGAAAATATATTTGACGACATAATCAAGCAAAAAGTCACAAATAATATAAAAGAATCTTTACATATATGCTCATTAAAATTTCATATCAAAATATTGTAAATTGGTATCAATTTCAGGTGATTTAACGGGACATATCATGAAGTCACGGCACAGTAAAACATTCAATGTAACGGGCATTTTAAAAAATGGGAGCTTTCATTTTCTCAGTATTTTACCTTAGTATTTGATACTGTATAGATTGGGTTACCTTATCCACTCAGAATAAACATCCATATACCATTTCTGATCCAGCTTAAAAACTATAAAACTAGTATTGTGTATTATAGTTTGTGTTAAACCCCAAAACATCAGATATTTCTGAAGTAAAGTTTGACGTCAGTCGATCTCAATCACAGTCTTTACAGCCCAGATCAGTGTTTTGTCGATGAACTTCTTCCACCCCTCCTGGATTGCCTTTTGACTAAGGTCTAACAGTCTAAAATTCTTTTTTACATTTTGTAGAGATGTGTCGGAAATTCTGCTGGTTTACTACATGTTTCATCAGGCTTATTTTGGGTCTCTGTTGGCGTTTTCCAAGCATGATTCATGATTTGATAAAAGTGCATTGCTCCGTCAATACACAAGACGTCACTTTTGCAGTTGATTTAAAATCTAAATACTTAATAATACAAGAATAAAAAGAAGTTTTAGAGAAAATTGTTGAATAATATCGTGAAATATGGAAAATAAATGAATAAATTTTTTGATACTGCATGTTTGTTTTTCAAAATTCTTGCCGTGCTCCGTACATCACCATCAGCAGTATCAAAACAGCAAAAATTTTATGAGATATTAAATAAAACCATAAAAATTTACCAAGAATTTATTGGAATCTTTAAGAAATATGTTCCTGTGAAATTTCAATTCTATATGACGTCTGTAAGAGTAAATGATAGCAGAGTCCGCGTAAGTTTTGAACGGCCTTCATACATGTGTGTTTATCTTTGTTAAAATAATTGTTTCAGAGATACGTGTACTGTAAATGTATTTTATTTCACGTGTATGATATTTAGCGGAAATTGATTTTTCCTCATATAAGCATAGATCTGATTTAGCGCTTTCTGAATGTGCTTTATTTGAAAATATGTATCTGGTACACAAGACATTTAGGGATGTACCTGATTTAGCAGAAGCTGCCTTCCTCGAAAGGCCCGAAATATAATACACAGCCAAATAATAAGTTCAAATTATAACTTAGACCTTCATGTCAAAGTATATATGATATTTCATGCCTTAGTATATATATGATAATCATTAATTATTTTATTAGTTTTTATGCCCCGCCATGAATATGGCCAGGGCATATAGTGTTTGTCATGTCCATCTTCTGTCCTTCCATCCTTCCATCTGTCTTTCCGTCGCACTTTGCGTTTAGCTCAGTTCAAAGCTCAGTTTCATAGAAACTGTCCAAGATATTTTCATCAAACTTCATATGCTGATAGATATTGATGAGAGCTATGCAACTGCATCTACATTTTTTTACCTTGACCTTTCCTTTGACCTTGACCTCACTTTTCCTAAATTAGTGTTCAGCTCAGTTTTAAAAAAACCATTCAAGATAGTGTTATCAAACTTCATATGTTGAAACATACTGATGAGAGCTATTCAACTGCATGAACATTTTTTTTACCTTTCCTTTGACCTTTACCTCACTTTTCTTAAATTAGTGTTTAGCTCAGTTTTAAAGAAACCATTCATGATATTTTTATCAAACTTCATATGCTGATACATACTAATGAGAGCTATTCAACTGCATCAACATTTTTTGACCTTGACCTTTCATTTGACCTTGACCTCACTTTTCTTAAATTATATCAAACTTCATATGCTGATACATACTGATGTAAGCCATTCAACTGCATCAAGATTTTGACCATGACCTTTCATTTGACCTTGACCTCAATTTTATCAATTTGTGTTTAACTCGGTTTTTAAGAAACCATTCATAATATTTTTATCAAACTTCATATGCTAATACATACTGATGTAAGCTTTTCAACTGCATCAACATTTTTTGACTTTGACCTTTTGTTTGACCTAACTTCATTATTTATTAGTGTTTAGCTCAGTTTTACATAAACCATTCAAAATATTTTTATCAAACTTAACATGCTGATGCGTATTTGTGAGAACTATACAACTGCATCAAAAATGTTTGACCTTGAACTTTCCTGTGACCTTGGCCTCACTTTTCTTAAGTTTGCATTTTGCTTAGTTTTAAAGAAACCATTTAAGATACATTTATGTAAGCTTATGCACTTATACATAATTTGGTGAGAATTTATCATCTATATCCAACTTTTTAGATTTCAATTTTAAAGAAAGTATTCAAAATATTCTCATCAAATTTTGTACACTAATGCAAATTTTCATGTTACATTACTAATATACCCTCGACGAGGCATTCATGTCCTTTGGACATATTTCTAGTTTAATGATATGTCTATCATATTTACATGTACTTGTTTTCAGGCAACAATAGACCCCCCTTTGAAGTTCCTTTCTGTGATGTTCTCAAAAATACACTGACGGCAGAACAAAACATGCAGACCTGGTGTAATGTGTGCGACCGATATCAACCACATGTAAGATTGTGCAAAGTGCCTCTCAGTCCCTCTCATGTTTGAAATTTTTTGATGAATAAAGCATAATGAGATAAGGTTGGTAGGATATCACCTAAAAATAAGCAATTTACAAATGTTAGAAATACCAGTTATGGGTTTATTTAAATACTGTACTGATACTGTTTTGACAGACCCAGATCAAAACCATGCAGAACATACCTGATGTGGTGGCAGTCAATTGTCATATAGAGAATGCTCGAGATTACGAGTTCTGGAAAATGCAGCACATGGTAAATATTTCATGCGAGTCTTTTTCGTAAGTTTTGTAATTAATTACTGTACAGTTGAATTTCATTATCTTGAATATTGCTATTTTGAATACGATGAATTTTAATTTTACATGGCTGTATTCATAACTGTGAAAATATTTTGTAAAGTAACTTGGTTCAAGAAGTCACTAGATTTTTTTCTTTATCATAGATTTTAAAACAGCGTAAGGAAGAGTTTAATGAATCATCGTCTCAAACAAACTTTATGAATGCCCCAGGAGGTAACCCTGTCATGTGCCGCTATGGCAACGCCTGCCGGAGAGGTGGATGTAAATTCAGACATGAGAGAGACATGCTGTAAGAAAATGTTATAAATATTTTTTTCCGCACTCTCTTATTCTCAACAAGTACTGGCTTGGGGGAAAGCTAAGTTTTTTTTATGTAGCTCACCTGAGTAGAAAGCTGAAATGAGCTTTCCTGATAAAAATTTTTATTATATACCCAACTGTTTGTCACTCAATTTTACTGTTGAATTTATGCAATCACGTGACTGTCTGATCCGACGTTCCGGATCACCACACTGTGGTTTTCTGAATCCATATCACCCCTCTCTGAAACTGATGCAGTAGTACACAGATAAATGACGTTTTTATTCTCTCACATCAGAAAGTTCCTTGACAAAATGGTTTGTTTAATGAATAAAAGTTATGTAATTGATCAAAAAAGTTTTCTTTTATTATATATTGCTAGTTGTAAAGGGGTATATAATAAATTTGTCATTATAACAGTAACATTATAACAGTAAGTCTATTTGTGTTTTAATGCAGTTTTCCACAAATGTATCTTGAGTGACAGGACTCTTACCATTTAGGAATAAAACGTACAAAAGTCTTTCCCTGGACTTGTTTCTGTGCATATTTTTTTCATATTATTTCAACTTCGGCGCTCCAAAACTCACTACTGCTTTTGACTTTCGACTCAAAAAAATGAATCTAAGTTACATTATTTATTTTCCATAGGTTAAAATTGTGAATATATTGAGTTACGGAGGGGTTACAACTATGCCGGTGCCATTTTGGTTTTTACGAGAGAGAAATGGGGCACCCTAAACTTCTCTTGAGCTTTAGTCGTTCCCACAAAGTTGGTTTAAACACCTGTAGAAATAATGCCAGCAAATTCTGTAACACCGTCCACTATTCTCCTGTGATTGTAAACTTTGTGATTTTCTCACAGCTAAGTCTTTTCTACGCAATATTTGGAGCGAGATTCGATAATAACATGCTATGTTTGACATATGCTTAAACCACCTCAGAACTATAAGATCTCCTAAATAAAACACCAAATGATAGACTGTAGTCTATGTAAACATTCTCCCAACTGGCATTTGTGTCCGTTAGCGTGCATCCGAGTAACGAGCAAAAGTTGACTTTAAAATTTTAATTTGCTGAAATTGTGTCTCTTGTTACATCATTTTTATGGTCAGTATGATAAAAACACGGGATTCTGACGTCATTTTCGGAGTAATTATGTCATAAAAATTACAAAGTGAAGTCACAGTAAGTGTATGATTTTCTGATCTTTCCAATAATATCAAACTCAATAATTTCCGCTAAATGGTTAATATTTTTTCAGACAGTTCTCAGAACTTTTCAAATGCCCCTCATACCCCCTTGAAGGGGATAATCAATACAAAAAAATAAATTCTCAAAATCACAGGGCCAGAAAAGAAAAACCAATGGAAAACCGAAGGAAAAGATGTGACCCTCTGGGCAAGAGTGAAAGATTTAGATTTTAGTAATGCATAGCTAAAAAAAAATATTTTGAGAAAGAGAAGTGTCACAAATGGTCAGAATAATTTGAGGTCACACCTCATAAAGGGTATGAAAAAGATTGTTCAAACCATGGTTCTTGGAGCTATGAAAATCCTTTTCTCAAGGACACCAGAGCCATGTTTACAGTTACAAGCCTTCCCATGTTGAAAGCAATTACATATTGTTGACAGAGATTCAATTTTATTTAAATCATGGCCCATGAAGCAAAGTTGGAGCCATCATAAAATGTTGCAAAGGAATGCTATAAATGTAGTTAAGTATATGCTGGGGGTTAAGGAAGTTTGTTTTTTTTTCTTCTTTTTTTTGACCAAAAAAAAAAAAAAAAAAATCAATAGTTAAAAATATGTATTCATGAACATTATGGTAATATGGAGGGGATGTATTTTTTAGAAAAACTAATCCCCAAACAGCTACATATATTAATCTAACCTTGACCTGCTCTTTTTCATTTTATTTGTTCATGGGAAAATTTACACTGTTTATGCAATAAGCTTAAAGCCATTTTAACCATTCATAAAAATATTTTGTAAAGTATTCCTTTACAATTAGTTACATAAATAACATGCAAACATTTTTAAAGTTGTTTAGATTCAAATTGCCAATGTCATGACCTTCAGAGTCGCGCTGAAGGATGAAGAGAAATGTGACTTGGGTAAGCAACTATGACTCATAGGTCTATTCTTTTACTATTTCTTAGTGACCCTGCCGCACACAACTATGATGAGGACATTGACTGTCAGTGGATTCCATTAGGTTTAATGATGGATCTCCATCCAGATGGAACACTCATTGTAGAGGAATACCCAGATGATGTAAGCATGTACATCTATAAGCCTAGCCCTTGTACTTGAATTCAAATTCATGTTTATAACAGTTACAATTGGAAAATCCATAGGATCAGCACATTTTCATCATTCAGTTTTGTTATACCTCTATACCTCTGCAAACAATGGGGGTGGGATGTAGGGGGAGGGGGTGAAAGGAAACACCGTGTCTGTTAAATATTGGGAGCTCACTCATAGTACCACTTGTTGGCTGTTGTTCAAGCTCTCTAAAATATTGAAAGGTCTATTTTCAAAAATTTTAAATTTGCAGTTACAAAACTAATAGCTCATTACCAGTATAGCTTTCAGATTTCCAAAAGTGGCTACTAAATGGCCTCTGAATGCATGGCCAATATTTTCCAGAATATCTACATGATCTAAGTGCCAATTTACCAATTGACACATATATCTCTATGTTGTTTTTCTTGAATGAATTTCTGTCATTTAAGATGATTGGGATTTTATTTTTTATTTAGTTACTCAAGGTTTTTGATTGGAAATTAAAAATATTTTCTATTATTAAGGCGTTTTTAATTTTGAAAATGGCTGCTAAATGGATTAATTCTGAATGACCAATCAAAGTTTACCAGAGTTTCCAAGTTCCAATATATGTCCATTTGATTGTTTTATAATTGACTTGTTTCAGTTAACGTGATTAAATGTAAGGTGATCGGATTTCTTTTATTAACTACTGTCCAGAAGCTTTTGATAGGAAGGTTAATACTTACATGTATTTTTTTTACTTCTCAATTGTTTGTAATTATTTCAAAAGTTTTTTTGAATGTCACATACCATATTGTATCATCTCAGATATTTGACGATACATGTGTCTTAAAATAGAAGTGTGCATGATGGTATTCTTTTTATACAGCAGGCATTAAATACTCTTTGTGTTTCAGAGAAAGAAAAACAACAACTTAAATGCTAATTTATAATATATATTGAAAATACACTGTATATTTAAATCTTTTTTGCAACTTGATGTTTAGCATGCGAACTGATGGCATTTAAGAACAAGGAACGGTTTCAATAAAAAGTTTGCCCTGTGTTTTTCTTAAAATTCAAAGTGATGTAAAAAATTAAAACTCATGCTTTTTGAGTCTTTGAAATTTCATGCAGAAAGATCATACAAATCATTTTTCTCACATAGCTTTCTAAATTCTAATTGTGACGTCATAAACTTGTGCATTTTTCCGTATTTTCTTAAAAACTTGCAGAAGACACCAATTTTTAACGTAGGTCGCGGGTTTGTAGGCCTTTTAAAAGTGTCCGAAAACATACCATGAAAATTAGTTATATGATTCCTTAACCTTTGCTTTACATTCTATGAAAATTTTATAAATTAAATTTGTGTGCATCGTTTTTATGTAATTAAATCCCGAAGATGCCATTGTTGTAGTAACATTTTCGACGTTATTGTATTGAATTATATAGGAAAAACATCAATTTCGGCTCGTTTTCAGGCAAGATTTTTTTTCAAAAAATATCATTAACTTTTAAATGGTGCAGACGAAATTGTTCCCCCTTTGGTATCTTAAAATAGAATTGATTTGAAATAAATCTATGTGAAAAAATTAATATGTCTTTGGGTTTGTTTTCTCGTAATTTAAATGTAGATAATTGCTTTTATATCGCAAAATTTAGCATTTTTAAGAGCTACGTCATAAAATATCGCAACGTCATGCTTGACGTCGTGAATATTGATCCGATATACAGAGCAGAAAAACAAATTAAAATATTTTTAATTCACGTCTATCTGCTTTCATATGACCCACGAGTCATATCATAATAATTCAACAGCAATGAAATGATTATTAGACATGTTTCTCATATTATTGAAAATCATCTCAAGGGACGTAAACGACAATCAGTCCTTTAGTTTCTTTCTTTCAATGTATTTTCTTTATGTGTTGTTTTCTTACCGTTTCTTTTCTTTTTGTTTTATTTTGTTTTCTTTTCTTTTCGAAGATAAGTATCCTACATTTGGCTGTGTATTTTTTCAGCGTGCTGGCGGAAAACGGTTATCCTCTTTTTCAAGGATACATATGAAATGTTTTTTTATTCAGCACATTCAGCAATGCGCTCATAGCTCCGAAAACTTCTTAATGAAAGAATTTCTGCCAAATATCGTCCCGGCTAAATACATTGTGTTTTCAGTATATATTTACAAAAAAATGTTTTTATTTATTTTTACATACAGACAGGGGATAACTCAAAAACATCTGAACTTGATTTTATGATTATACTTATAAGAACAGAAAAAAAAAACAAACGAACGAGACATTTTTAGAGTGGTAAATGGGATGAGAATCTAAAAATTAATTTTATCTGACGTAATCAACAGTCAGATTTTTTTTTGTTTCAAAAGACTTTCAATGTATATAACATTAATTCGACTGGTTGGACATGGAAAGCAAAGTAGCGAATAAAATCTGTAGATAACAGCATTGTAAACTGTTACCTACACAGCCCCCCCCCCCCCCTTTCCATTTTTTCTTTTTAAATCTGGGGTCGAGTCACCTTTTTTATGTTTGAATTCTAATATGTACTATATGTTATCAATATGTAACCCTTTTGTCTCTTTAAGCTGTTTTTAAATGTATCGACCTTTCCAACAAGCCATAATGAAACGCTTTCTAATACTTCCAGCGTTGGATTCGAATCGTAATAAGCCTTCATTATATTTGATAACTTCATAAAGTATATTATACTAAACTACCATTTCCATAAAAGTTATATCTAAATATTGCATCGACTATTCAAATTGTAAAAAGCCTCCATTATTTGTGATAAGTTGTGCCTTAAATAATATAATAATAAAATACCAATGCCAACAAAAGTTATAGCTAGATAATGATGGACTGAAATTTCTTTTTCGTGACGTCATAATCAAATGTGCACAAGAAAGTCGCCCAAACCATATAAATTGCGTACCCAGTTTTAATGACATCAGCAAACCCGCGACCTACGTTAATGGAATTTTCTTTCAGTTAATATTGTCCACAGGAATCAAACTATTTTCTCGGTTCCTTTGAGTTCAAGATAACAAGGTTTGACTGTAGTTGTTAATTTGCAATTCCTTTTAAATGTTATTACTTTGTGTCGATGGGTTTGATTGGTCTATTCTGATGAATTCCATAACAAAACAATTTACAAAATTATAGTTCAGTGTAAGAGGGGTGATCAAAAACTAATTGAATTACTTCCATAAAAGAAATGAAATTAGGTTTCAGTGCTCACTATTTTTTAAAGTAGTCCTCTCCGATTTAAACACACATCTATCACCGTCCTGCCCATGCATGAATCACATGATACAGGTGGTAACGTGACATGCTCTGAAGCATTCAGTTCACAGAAGCTGAAAGAATTTTCCATGGCAAGTCTTACATTTCTAACCAAGCAAGTTATTTTTTATAACAAGAACAGCACATTTGTCAGAAATGGAATTATCTCAGCAATAGAAAGGGTCAGTAAGGATATCCTTTCCCAGAATGAGCATGGTGACCATCACAACCCAAGTCCTCTGTCTTGGGAGAGTCGTTTTATCCAGTGTAGATAAAGTAAAGGTGCCTTCTTTTTATCATATCTGATATGTTTAAAGTCTAAAGTAAACAATATTTTAGGGATTTAATAATTATGTTATTGTTAAGATATTCAACTATTTTTCTAACTAAAACTTGGTGGTCTTTCATAACAAATTGCCTAACTAAGGACACATCTCTTCCTCAACTTGCCCTCACTGGGCAACAGAAAAAACATTATTTTTAACCATCTTCCTTCCTTCACTAAAACAATCAATCAAATTAATGATTAAACTCATCGCAAGTCTTTTGGCTTTATAAACTTTGTACAAATTAGTATATGCTACTGCAAAGGAATTTCCAAGATACAAACTTTACAGCCGTTCGTTGCTCAAGTATGACTGAGTCAATCATTTTTTGTCACAAGTAACCTACCTATTGATGTCATTTTCACATTGTGACATCACAAACATGGAGCAAAACATTAAATAACATCTGCTATTTATAGAAACATGTATGACTATATGTGTATCAAATTTCATTTGGTCTGAATTGTGGTTTTTAGCTCACCTCGATGAAGTCGAGATGAGCTTATGCTATACCTCTGGTGTTGGCGTTAGTGTCAGCGTCCCAGTTAAAATTTTAGGAGCAAGTCCATTCTCAAGTAACTATAAGATCTACCTGGACCAAACTTGCATGGATGATGCATCTAGGGATGGACACCACCACACTTGCTTTGGATGCTGGATCTGACCTAGATTTTCCAGATGACCAGGTTAAAGTTTTTGGAAGCAGGTCGATTCCCAAGGAACTATAAGCCCTAGCTGGACCAAACTTGCATGGATGATGCATCTAGGGATGGACACTACTACACATGCTTTGGATGCTGGATCTCACCTAGATTTTCCAGATGAGTGACCAGGTTAAAGTTTTTGGAGCAGGTCCATTCCTAAGGAACTATAAGCCCTAGCCATACCAAACTTGCATGGATGATGCCTCTAGGGATGGACATTACCATACTTCTTTAGGATGCTGGATCTGACCTAGATTTTCCAGATGAGTGACCAGGATAAAGTCTTTGGAACAGGTCCATTCCTAAGGAACTATAAGCCCTACCTGGACCAAACTTGCATGGATGATGCATCTAGGGATGGACACTACCATACTTGCTTCGGATGCTGGATCTGACCTAGATTTTTCAGATGAGTGACCAGGTTAAAGTGTTTGGAGCAGGTCCATTCCCAAGGAACTATAAGCCCTACCTGGACCAAACTTTCATGGATGATGCATCTAGGGATGGACACTACTACACATGCTTCAGATGCTGGATCTGACCTAGATTTTCAAGATGTGACCAGGTTAAAGTTTTTGGAGCAGGTGCCTTACTATAAGCCCTACCTGGACCAAACATGCATGGATGATGCATCTAGGGATGGACACTACCACACTTGCTTCTGATGCTGTATCTGACCTAGATTTTCCAGATGAGTGACCAGGTTAAAGTTTTTGGAGCAGGTCCAATCCCAAGGAACTATAAGTCCTACCAGTGGTGCATCTAGGGATGTACACTTACCAACCTGCTTCGGATTCAGGATCTGAACTAGATTTTCCACATGAGTGAAATTTAGCCATATTTTAACCAAATTAGCATGTATGATGATGTATCTAGGAATGGACACTTCCAGACTTGCTTTGGATTCTTAATCTGATATTGATGGATATTGATCTTGGGATGTACACTAACTAGGAAAAAAATAAGATGTGAGATTTGCCTTACTTGTAAAGATAACATCCGTCAAGGTGAGCTTAGTAATCTTTGATTACCTATGTTTTAAATATAGAGATAGTTCACGAACTTTTTGATTACCCCTCGTACTAAAGTCAAAATCCAGTCTGCTGTATCAATATACTTAAAGGTCACATAATTAAAGTCTCTCTACTTTATCCAGTCATTGTATTTAGTACATTAATGTCCATCCTGGTTTACTTATCACTATTAAGTTCACTATAATAAATAAATATAATGATTATGATATGAATGTATTTTCCAAGTTTAAATTGTTCAAATAAAATGCCACTTCCAAACCCTATAAGTTTACACACATATCTTGGAGACAGATTCTTGAATAAGTGAAAATGCAGGTCAGCCCTATATAGATACAATGTAGATATTTATTATTGTTGTTTTGTTTTGTATCCTATGTTTTTTTGTTGGTTTGTATCCTCACTTGTTCTTTGTATTTTATCTTGTTCTTTGCTGTATCCTATTTATACCCCTGCTCCAAAAGAGAGGGGGGAATACTGTTTTACCCCTGTGTGTCTATCTGTGTGTGTGTCTGTCTGTCTAGCTGTCTGTCTGTCCTCAAAGAATTTTTCACTGTATTTTGTTCTTTCTTTGTATGCTATCTTGTCCTTGGTTGTATCCTGTTTTGTTCTTTCTATGCATGCTATCTTGTCCTTTGTTGTGTCCTATTTTGTTCTTTCTTTGTATGCTATCTTTTCCTTTGTTGTATCCTATTTTGTTCTTTCTTTTTATCCACCGTTCACGGTAGCTCAGTCGGTAGAGCACTCGCTCCGTGATCGGGAGGTCGTGAGTTCGAATCTCGGCCGTGACAGACTTAAGTCGATAAAAAATAGGTAGCAACTGTTCCTTCGCCATGCGCTCGGTACTTTGAAGTGAAAGTTGCGGGTCCTTCAGATGAGACCTTAAAAACCGAGGCCCCGTGTCATGGCAGGTGTTGGCACGATAAAGATCCCTCACTGCTCAATGGCCCTGAGTGCCGTGTAAAGGTCAAAATTTGAAGCCCTTCACCGGTATATGGTGACGTCTCTATATGAGTGAAAAATTCTCGAGTGGGACGTAAAACAATATACAATCAATCTTTCTTTGTATCCTATCCTATTTGTTTGTATCCTATCCTGAACAACATGTAGATGTATCATGTCTGGTGTGAAAATTTGATCTGCCTTCAAACATTCACTTGTTACATGTATGTGGCAACATTTTCAAAATCACAAAGTAATATGGCATTACAAAGAGGTATGACTGCACGTTCATTGAAGACTGTTACATTTTTTAACTTGTTTAATTTCAGCAACCAGTCCCACGAGATGCTCCCCTGACGAGGAGGTATTATGAGATCCTGGCTGTTATTTACCACATTAGAGATGAGAAGACTGCTGGCAACCTAGTGACCTGTATCAACGTTGGAGAAACGTACCACCAAAGAAAGGAGAATGTGACTTGCACACAGTGGTACTTGTTCAATGACTTCTCCATCTTACCCATAGAAAAGGTCAGTCACAGCAAGTTTGACCACATCCCTGGTTTTAAATATTATTTTTATGCCCCGTAATACAAAAAGAAAATGGGCTTATTAAATAGGGTTTTTTATGTCCACATCTTTACCTTTGTCGTTGTCATTGTTGTCTTCGTCGTCGTTGTAAACTTTTCACAATTTCATCTTCTTCTCCAGAACCACTGGACCAATTTCAAACAAACTTGCCACATTGAAAGCATCTTTGGGTGAAGGGGATTCAAGTTTGTTCAAGTGAAGGGCCACGCCCTCATTCAAAGGGAGATAATTCAGAAATATTGAAAATTTGGTGGCATGTTTCAATAATTTTCTTCTCAAGAACCACTGGGCCAAAAAAGTTGAAACTTATGTGAAACCTTCTTTACATAGTGTAGATTCAAGTTTTTTCAAATGATGACTTTTAAAAAAATTTTCTTCTCAAGAATAGCAAAGCCATGAATAGTCATTGTGATATGAAAGCATCCTCAGGTAGTGTAAATTCAAGTTTGTTCAAATCATGACCCCCTGAGGGTAGGGTTGGGCCACAATGGGGGATCAAAGTTTTGCATAGGAACAGAAAAAACAGAAAAGCCAGGTTTAGTCATATTGATATGGAAGTATTCTCAGGTAGTGTAGATTCCAGTTTGTACAAATCATGACCCCCTTGGGAAGTCAGGGGCCACAATGGGGGATCAAACTTTACAAAGGAATATGTAAGAAAATTTTTTTATATCTTTTGTTCAAGAACAGTAAAGTCATTAAATTTTGTTATATTGATATGGAAGTATCTTGAGGAAGTTTATAATTCAACCCCCCCCCCCCATTTAAACTTCAATACTGAACTGATTTGTGCTTTTTCCTAGCCAATGTGCTCAGGTGAGAGATGTGGCATGGGGCCACTGTACTTTAATTACTGAATATTAATTGTTTTCTGCATTTCAATACAAATTTACATTTCATTGAGAAAATGTATTGACACTAGTAAAATAACTTGTAAAATAATTCAAATAAATTGGCATTCAAATGGATACAGGTACAGTATCAATCCAAATCTTATCCTTCATACTTGTAGCATGAAGCATGTGCTGTCAATATGGACTGGAAGGTTCCTTGTACGATTTACTTCAAGAGAAGACAGCTAACCAAATTTCATGACCTCACAGGTTTGCAGCTATAAATAAAGCTGATGAATGTTAAGCAAGATGTGAAAATTATGAGTGGGTTCATGATAATTACACATATCAAGTAGTTGACAAAAAGTAACTTATTGATCACAGAACAATTAGAGATCTTCCCACCTTTTATGTCAGATTATTTTTTCATATTTAACTTTCTAGAGATAAATTTCATTCAAAAGAAACCAGAAATGGCGTAAAAGTTTGAAAAAAAAATTTAAAAAAATTAAAGTGACATTTGACCTTGACCTAATATTCAAGATAAAAGGTCAAGGATCACATAGCAGTTGATCCCATGTTTGTATGACTTTAGTCTTAGAGTTTTAAGGTTTAAAAAGAAGCACAAAGAAATGAAGAGGCAATAACTCTAACAAGGGTCCGTCAGATCCTTTCACACTGAACAGAGGAGGAGCGATAACAAGGTTTTTGGGGGATAAATTTGAAAGGGGTCAGGTTTATGGATTGAAAAGGGAAACTTTAAGCTGATTTTAAAGGGAGATATTAAAGATGCAATGATAGAAAATATATGTTGAAAGACAGAAGAGATATAATAAAAAGAGCAAAATTTCTCATATTTTGAATGACCTGAAACCTTAACATAAATTTCAAGGTAAAAAGTGGAAGACTCTAATGCAGTTGGTGCCATGCCTCTATTATTATACGTTGAAATCTTTATGTCCGACTATGAATATGGACGGGGCATATAGTTTTTGTCATGTCCATCTTCCGTCCTGTCTTTCCATCTGTCCTTCTGGCTCATTTTGGGTTTAGCTCACTTTCAAAGAAATGATTTAAGATATTTTTTATCAAACTTTATATGCTGATACATACTGATGAGAGCTATTCAACTTCATCAAATTTTTTTTACCTGTGCCTTCCCCTTGACCTTGATTTCATTTTTCTAAAATGAGTGTTTCAAAAGAAACTATTCAAGATATTTTTATGAAACCATATATACTGGTTCATATTGATGAGAACTATTCATTTTCATCAAAATTTTTTTACCTTTACCTTTCTTGCGACATTGACCTCACTTTTCTCAAAATAGTGTTCAGCTCAATTTCAAAGGCACTATTCAAGATATTTTTATCATTATATGCTTACACATAAACACACATAGTGAGAACTATTCAATTGGATCAACATTTTTGACCTTGACCTTCCTTTTACCTTGAATTCAAATTTGTGTTTATCTGAACTTCAAAGAAACTCTATAAGATACTTTTATCAAACTTCATATGCTTTTACATATTGGTGAGAGCTATTCAATTGCATCAACAATTTTGACCTTGACTTTTTTCAGACCTTGACCTCACTTTTCTCAAATTTATGTGTAGCTTATTTTCAAAGAAACTGTTCAAGATATTTCTTATGTAAGCCTCTAATGAAAAATTATTTATAAACATCAAAATCTCTCAGGGTCAACAACTCAAAAAAGGGGTCGATGAATCCTTTAGCAAGGAATAGACTGAAGAGTCTCCTTAAGTACTTGAAGACATTGGTGAGAGTTTTACATCTCTCTGTGGTTTGCAGTTTCCTCAGAGTTTAATAAGGTTTATTGTGCATAGGGCAGTTAATAGGTCATTAATCACATGCATTGGGTTGTCAGTAAGTCTTTCGATTTCAAAATTCCTGGCAGAAAAAAATAAAAATAAACACAAGCAATTCAAGAGATCTTTCCACTTAAAGGTGGATAGACCTAATTATTTCTTGTTCAAGATTAACTAAATCAGACTAGACAACAATCCAGATAGACAACATTTGAAAAACAGAATTTACTGAAAGAGGTTCAAAGTTTACATCATAATAATCAAGATTTCAGAATACACAACATCAGGATAAGACAAGTTTTACAGTGAATTCGAGAATTAAATCTTCATAATCAGTGCTGCTGAGAAACTCTTCTATTCTCATTATGTTGTTGACTAGAAAGGATTTAGGGAGGATAAGGATTTCCAGAAAGACATCTTGCATGTCAGGACAGTAGCTAAATTAGGAAGGAAACAAATCTGTTTGAATAGTTTAAAGCCTTATATTTTACTTTAATTGTATAACTGCACAGTTCACAATAAATAGACCCAACACAATGCAAAATATTTGATTGTATTAATGAATTTTATAGTGACAAATCCTATCACCATGGATGTTCTGCGAGAAGACTTTGGATTGGTCAATCCAGCCAACAGGAAGGTGACCTTTGAACCCCTTTCTGAGGATGAACTCCCACAGAAAGGAGATGTGGTAGCCCTGGATGCTGAATTTGTCTCACTTAATCAGGTATTTACGTTTTGTTATTCCTCTAGTTTGATTAATTTTTCGTATGGATCTAGGACTTAAAGAAATAAGCATTGCCTAGATAACACTTTTAAAGTTTATCAGGCATCAAAGTGATTGAGAAAATTTAAAATTAATGGACAGGGTTCGTACAGACTATTAAAAGTGTTTGAATTTCGACTCAGTCATTGAAAAGTGCTTGAAAATGCTTAAACAGGAAAAAGTAGTGGAAAAGTGCTGAAATTTGCATGAAAAGTGCTTGAAATTTTTTTTATGGTGCTTAAATTCTGATTGTGAGCTATAGCTGCTATCCATGTATAATGAAGAATTAAAAAAAAAGAAGAGCAAAAAAAATGTGTTGATTCACCTTAATGCATTATTGATTAGAAAATGTTGAAAAAGAACAGAATGAAGAATAACATAGGGAAAGAAAATGTGATAATACATTTAAAGCATTATTGGTTTGAAGATGTTGAAAAAAAATGTGTGAGAAGTTTAGAAATACAACAAAATCCAATTAATATGTCATATATCAGTTGTTTTAGATGCTTGACTATATTGTCCAAAATGCTTAAAAAGTGCTTGAAAAGGGGTCTTGAAAGTGCTGGAAAAGTGCTCTTTGAAATTTTGATGCTGATCCAGCTGTACCAACTCTGATGGAATAAAAAAAAATTAGCAATACTTTCATTTGACGAAAAGTTTTACATGTATGATAGAATTCTAGAACTTCCTAGGTGTGATGGGTGTTTTTTTACTCATTGTGGGAATGTTGTTTCTTGTTGTGGCGACACTGACAGATCGGTAGCTTGTGATCACTTAATATGAGACTGCCGTCTCCTAATTTGGTCGAGTATAAACAAAATGGACACAAAGGAAATCTTTGTCTCTGAAGCGTTTAACAATAATTTAATATGTAGATAAAACATAAAACTGCTTTTATGTTTGCAAGGAAACACAGAGTTAAGGAATCTAATCATCAATAATGGTAATATTTCAGTTTATCCTTATCACACCCTATTGACAGCTGTAGCGTCAGCATTTCAGTTAAAGTTTTAGGAGCAAATTTTATTCCAAAGTAAACTATTTTTTTCAAGAGAAGTACTACTCTTGAAAGAAAATTACATGTTTTTAATTTAATGATGCTGAAATAAATACTAATGATCAACAGTTCACTCACGATTTCATGTTCTCACAATTTGACGTCTACCTTTCTTTTTTGTAATACTAGGTACTCAATATGTGTAAAATAAGAAATCTATATGGCATGCATTTATGACTTTTATGGTCCAGCTTTTAAACTAAGATTTTTATTTCTCTACTGCCATGCTCTTCGTTCTTTATTGCTTTATTTTGTTCTTTTGCTAAAAAGACCTTTTTGTTTATGTTTCTTTAGGAAGAGTCAGAATTACGTAGTGATGGAACCCGCTCCATGATTAAACCTTCTCATCTCACATGTGCAAGGATGACGTGTCTCAGAGGGTAAGATTAAAAGCCAGATCAGTCAACTGCAGTCATTTTTTTTAAATGTGTTGGATAAAATGTTTGATTCTCAGGGCAACATTTTTAACATGGATCAAGGTAAAGAATAAGATTTTTTTTTCTCTATCTGTAAGAGTCATTATCAAAAACCGCCAAAATTTTGGTCACAAGGCAATAAAAAAGTATAGGAAGTAAAAATTATATAATTTTTTACTTTACTATTTTGAATACATTATTCTGTAGTTGGCAGAATACTAATATTGCTGCTGTATGATATATTTAGAGAAAAAATGCATATAGAAATGTGCATATATAAGCATATTTTGCGATGTCCTACACTCCTTTGCATTGAATTTACAAGTGTTTTATAGCCAAATCCAGATAATTTTTTTCTCATTTTTTTCCTTGTGTGCCTAAAACTATTCTTGACATATGCCATACAAACACTAAAAATTTTGTAAAATTAATATGCTTGTCTTATTAAATATCAAGACTAAAATGTGTGTCCCACGAGTTTTTGTCTCTCCTGTTATGCTAATGAAAAAACAGAAAATAGAAATATTTAGACTGAACCTTTCTGGGTTCCATATTTATTATCAGCCTCAGTTTCATTTACATGAAGCCAAGTTGTTGATGCCATTCATTCAAATTTGATGGGTTTGAAGAAAATTTCCAAAATATAAGTATGATTTACTCAGTAGAAAAAAAATACGTCCTCACTGTTACATTGAAAATAAGCATTAACATTGGAAGTAAGAAATTGTAACTTTTCTTACAAAATAACTTTAAAATTTTGTTTCAAAACTACTGCATCATCAGCTTGTATGGTAATCAATAAGGAAAATAAAGAACCAAATATAGTGTAATTGTCTATCCTGTTATTGTCCATCCTGTTACATGTAAATTTGTAACAGTAAAGACAATTTTTGTAACAGGAAAGACTAACATTACATAAAATGAAGATTTGAGACCTATCTTATCATTAATCTAGCAATTAATTTTCATACAGTTTTTAATAAAGTAGTATGTAAAAGGAATACACCCTGAGTGAGAATTTGTTGGTTCAGATATGTATGTTAAAACATAAAATGTTGTTTTGTAACAGGAAAGACATAACATATTGTAACAGTATGGACAAATTTTCTTAAAATCAGAAAAAATGTGGTCTTTTATTAATTTGTCAGATTTATTATTATTTTCATATTAATATTCATTTGTTCTTTTTTCAATAATAAAAAGAAAAAAATCTTTATATAAATAAAGGATTTCTAAATATAAGTTTGTAACAGGAAAGACAGGGATTGTAAGTTATAGAATGGACAATTTATGAGATTTTTTTTCTTTGAAGCACATTTTTATCATTTAGATAATCTTTGAAGAAAAAACAGTTTCTTTTTAAAAATCATTTTTCGCCTTTTTAACTCTTTCCCCCTCAGAGCTTTGAAGATAAGGCGTTACTGTATACTCCCGTAGCAAGCCACTGCTGCAGCCTTATCTCCACAGCAGTCTGGCATCAGTGATAACCCCATTTACTCAGGCATTTTCAGAAATAAAGAAAAAAATCACAGTGCTTTATATTTATTCTTATTACTCTCAAATTATTGGGTAAAAGTATATAAAACCAAGTATTTTTATTTTCAGCACAATCTCATCTTTACAATGATGATAATTTAAAGCCAATCCTTTATTTTTAAACTAAGAAAAAGTTTGGTAAATGTCAAGAGTCAGCGTATATACACACATTTTTCATGACAAAATATTTAGAATTTAATCATTTTACAGTCAATAAAAAGGTTTCAATGTCTATTTTGTTATGTGAAAAGATCCACATTTTGCATAGATGCACACTGCGAAGTTTACACAAACGGATAATCTTTTTAATTTCTTTTTTTGGCCAAGTAAGCCTTCTTTTCTGCTTCAGTGATTTTGTACCAGACACGGTCTTCCTTTCTCTTCTGTGCATTTATTCGCCGTGCACTTTTATTTTTGTGATGCACATAGTCTATAATAATGTTTGGAGAAAACATATCACCCAAGAAATCTTTTGTTGCAGTTGTTTTTACACAAAAATCGGCTCTTGAATACTGGCCATGTGACTTTCAACTCGCACGCCATGAAATGTCGAAGGTTTTCTGGCCAATTATAATGTTCCAAATTAATTTTTTCTGCACAAATGAATTCTTTATGAATATATGTATTCGATTCAGCATCCTAAAGCCCATAAAGTTTATCTAAATCGTCACGTGAATAGAAACAATCTCACCGTACATTGTTCGTAATCCGCCATTTTGAATTAACAACTTTTGTTTTTCCTACCATACAAGGTAAAAACCATCTTTATTTATAGGTACACGTGAATTGATGACAGTGCACATACTTTATTTTTGTAGGCCAATAATAACGCTTCAATTTGATACCTGCCCCAAAGTTGCCGACGTCATAGTCTCGTTTTCACATAGTCTTAAAATAACAAGATGTCGAAAGGCGCTTGTGCGGAAATTCTGTATAGGCGTCGAGAGACGCTAGTGCGGAAATCATGGATGGGCGTCGAGAGACGCTTGTGCGGAAATCCTGGCTAGGCGTCGAGAGGCGCTTGTGAGGGGGAAAGAGTTAATATCAGTTTAATATGATTTAATACATGTAAATATATTGATACATATACATACAGGGTAGGGTGGCAGACATCTTTAAAGTTCTTTTTTTAAGAACAGCAAAACCATGATTAGTTATATGAATGTAGAAGCATCCTCAGAAGGATTAGATTCATTTTCATTCAAAACATGGCACCTGGGGGTAGGGTATGTCTAAAACAGGTGATCAAAGCTTTACATATGAATATATAGGAGAAGAAATCTGCTGACGAAGAACAGCAGGGCCATATTGACTCAGGTGAGTGTTGTGGCCCATGGGCCTCTTGTTAAAAAAAAATGCGCTTGTGGTACTGTACTTCCGGATCTTCGGGTTTTCTGTGAAGTACAAAAAAAACAATTGTTCGATAGTTCTATTAATTGAAGAATGTGGTAAATAATTCTTAGCAGAGAAAAATATGAACTTTGCCTTGCACGATTTTTTTTCTTTATTAAAGGCGCCTAAAAGATGCATTGTACTTAAAATTTAAAAGAAATTGCCCGGTTCTACCGTGATGCACAAGACAAGTAAAATACCTTGAAATTCATTACTTTTATTAGTGCTTATCGATTGCATTTAATACTTGACTTTATTTAAGAATTATTTACATATTTGTATTTTATTTATTTATATTTGCTTTTTGAATCGGATCTTTTTTTTCTTGAGTTGTTATCAACCCCCCCCCCCCCCCCCCCCCCCCCCCCCCCCCCGCTCACTGTGCCTCAAGTGGGATTAAGACTTTCATAATTTGCAAAGTTTTGTCTAATTTTGCCAATGGAGTCCTAGTATTTAAGATAAGTTTTGTAACAATTAATACAAAGTTTATAACAATAATTTACGATTATTCAGTCCAATAATCCACTTGTCATATTGTGGAAATTTATTTATTTATTTTTTTGTGTGTTCTAATTTTTTGTAAACATGTGTATGTAATTATTCAATGTTATTTATTTAATACAAAGTTTCAGTACTGGATAAATATATTCACATACATTGTTAGCTATAGGCATACACGTAGCTATTATTAATTAGTAGATACAAATTCAGTCATTGAAAATGTTTATAAAACAGGCAAGCTTAGAAAACAATTTCATTTCTTGGGGGGGGGGGGGGGGGGTCTAAAAAGAAGTGTTTTGAAAAGAAAATAAAAGAGGCTAATTAAGACATTATTATTGTTGATAGGCAATATTATATAAGCAATTTATTTCTACTGTATAATACACATGTTGGTACACTGTAACATTTCAAGTATACGACTTCGTGCTCCCTTCTTAATCTTACAGGCCTATAACATCTGAAGTATGAGAGAATAAATACAAAAGGATGCAAATGCAATTCCATTTTTGGATATTAGATGATGAAATATCTAGTGATGTTTATTAATTTTATTAAATTCAATTTCTTTCAGCTGGTCTCCTTCTTCATATATACATATAAAATGTATGTACTTGGAATGTGTCTATGTGTACAGGACATATGTAACATACATATTTATATATAGGAGAAATTATTTAATTATTTAATCACAGTCCAGTTCACAATCTCAACGCAACCAGCAATTTCAGCAGGTCACGTGTTTAAAACGCAATAGAAATTAAATTAATTTATTTTAAATATAAATTGAAGCAAATTTGTAAAAACTCAGGAGACAGCGTTACATGTAACCTTAAGGATATCTGATCCTCAGCCAGGAAGGATAACTCTTAAATTTATTGATTTATTTAAAAAGTCTCAAAATGAAGATTGAAATTGAGATCTTTTCATGCAACAATTTTCATTTTATGCATATTAATATGATTCAAGGTTCTTTGAAGTCTTAGAAACGGTCTTGTAAAAAGTTGACATTTGTACCCCATAAAAGAAAAAAAATTAATTCATTTTTAAAGAAATAGAATTTCCTTTAGTCTAGCATTAGATACCACTGCTTATTAGCATGATATGAAATTAGATGTGATATGTGATGTCTAGCAATGATAGCACAAGTTTTTACACTATGTTTTATATGAAAATTGAAGTAAAAAGAAGAAACAAAATACTGTATAAGCATATAAAAGATGCTATTTTCTCTAAATGCCTGGATACCTATATTTTTCTATCCTAAATTATGTTTGTTGATCAATTTTCAATTAGAAAATGCATAGATGGTGTTTTTATTCGCATTTCCTGAAAATATATTTGAGATTTGATAATTTTCCCTATATAATATGATTAACTATAATGATGAACTTTGAAGAAATTCCATGGGTAAATTCACGTTACTATGTGAAATCAAAGACATTTTTGTGAGCATTTTCAATTACTTAAAAGCTGATTTTCAGAACCTGAGAATTGGACTACCTTAAAACAATAATTTTTTAAAAAATTTTTCCCCT